CAGAAACAAAGCAAACTATCTCATTGATTGGTTGGAGGCTTGACCCCTTTAATTCTATTCCATGTAGCATTTTTTTGGCTACTTGGTCAACCCTTGAGATAAAATCAAACAGTTAGCAAAGTGCCCCTAGCAAAAGGCTTCGGTACTACAACTACATGTACATGAAGTTGGTCCTCAATAGAGCAAAACTAGGAAACCATGGGATTCTGAAACAACAGAAGTGATTTCGCCGAATAGGCTGGTTACAAGAAGCATATGTAGTGAACGTGAAAAAAAGCAAACCTGCTAAAAAGATCCAAAACCGCTTGCTGACTTTCGTGTATGTGCATGCATGGGGAAAAACAAATCAACAAGCCGACGCAACAGTTGTACCACGTGGATCAATATAGGGGCCATAAGTCTAATTCCTTTTTTTGCGGCAGAGGAGGTTTCATGAATTGTTTTAGACATCAGTATTGCGGCACTTCATAGCCGTGATCACAGAGCAACACGACGTATCTCATCTACGTTGCAATGCAGTGCTGGAACACATCCCGCCACAATGTAAAACAGTATACAACCACTGCTTGAGCATGGCAGGACAATATCCATCCAAATTTATGTTCTGTAGTTATCAGTGATCGGTATGTTTGTTTTTTCCTTGTGTTTGGGATAGTTTGTGATGTATATGATTAGACACCTATTTATTTGATCAAACAACCCAACACAGCCAACTGAAAGCAACTATGGTGTGACACACTATTACCGCAGTATGAGATATCCAACCACTCATCCATCTACTATGCAACCATACCATGTATGCCTTGCATCATATACCATATGATCCCATATCAGCCCATAGCATGCACATTTGTCACTATTTACGTTTACAACAATAATAATATTGCACCATGAAGATGCAACACAGCACCATTCAACTGTAACACCGTAATTACCACTCCACCTTCAAAACCGTACCATGTACCCTCAGACCGTACCCCACACCGTACCCTCAGACCGTACCCCACACCGTACCACCGTACCTTTCGTACCCTGGTTTGAACGTACCTGATTTAACCTTACTATTTCACACCTATCTTGAACTTTCATAAGTTTTAATCTCAATTTTATAAACCCAAGAGTGAACCTTCCCAAAATCTACGAGAAATGGAAGGTACTCTCCTAAAAACGGTTTATCATTAGGTCCACCGCACTAGTTGATATGAATGTGCTCGTTTTGTGGCCTAGAAAACCGGCAGGCTACAAGTTGTAACGAGACAGAGTGGCACCAGATTTTCATTGTACGAAATGAAACGTCGAAAGTGGTCGCAAGTGCCTTGGAACAGCTTGAGGCGAACCCAGGTGTGTTTCAAAATTTGGGCCCCTCAGGTCCAATGGTTTACAATAAATTTTTCTACGACCATTTTGGTATCCGAGTGGTTCCCTTTGATAAACTTGAAATGTGCACCGACCGTTGGCTGTGGGCCGATATATTTCTTGGTCACCAGTGCTTCGGGAAACAGAACTTGCAAATGAAACATATGAAACATTCAGTTAAATCAGCTTTCCGGTAGGTATTAGTGGTAAATAATACACACATCTATTATCATACACCCAGACGCACACACACAATCGTATGCATGTTTAATACAAATAAATATAAATGTAAATAAATAAATAAATGAATAAATATAATGTCAATTTGTGGTATGTGATACTCCATGTAAAGGCCAGGTTGTCACATGTAGTGTCTGCTGCCATTTCGGCTATCAGGGCCCTTGAGCTACATCGCTATCGCCACTAGCAAAAAGAGCCGCGTTGGACTGCACGATACCGTTGCCAATTCACATTGGTAGCGGAGCAGGTGACGACCTGTCTCCGGGTACGTGTCAGATCCAGGGATTGAAATCGTAGAAATTTGAATCGGATTTGTTTTTGGAACTTTTTCCGCTGAAATTGTCTGATCCCTGTGGGACAGACTTGCAATTGGCTGACCTTGGGTATAGGCAGTCCATCGCAAAGGAATCGTAGAAATGTCAGTAGCTGGCCTTAGGTTTGGTTCTGACCGATCCACTGCGCCCCTAGAGACCAAGAGTGGATCATACATATACCATGGGGATGCAGCGCACTATCATGATTGGGAATTCCGGACCCTTTTGCGAATAAAACTGTTTGATTCAAAGAAAAATGTAGAATCCTCCCCAACCGGAAGGAGTGCCGAGCCCGTTGGGCCGGACTCTGAAGCTGATGCTGGGATTTCACCCCATCCGCGCCCAGGCCGACCAGATGACGAAGCCGGAGCCTCTGCCAGTCGAAGCCCTAAAGGGGATGACACGGGTCGAGATCGTAGTGCCTTAGTCAACAAGGTTGTAGAAGGTCTTCGACGTGATGCCTTTCTCATTGCCAGAGATCTCGGTTTGGAGACTCTGTCCCAAGAGGGAGGTCTTGAACGATTGGTTGAACGAATCAAAGCCCATGTTTTTCCCAGAGCTCAAGAAGAAGCCAAAGAACTCTTCAGAGCAGGGCAGAAAGCAGGTGGAGTTTTGTCCCGACAACCCCAAGAACCCATGCTGAGCTATACTCAACGCAGACGCAGATGGTGGAGAGTGTTGACCGAGCTTGATCCTTCCATGGCACTTTCAGATGGACTCCGTATGGAGCTCATGCTTGAACTGTCAGGTCTGAGCCGACAAGAGGTACTGGTCGTAAAAGCATGTGCCGCCACCAAGGACTTTGAAGGAGTTGCTAAGGTGTTGGTTGATCAGTATTCAGGAATCCATTTGAGGGAAGGATCCAAGTCTTGGGTTGGACGTTCATCTACCCCACAACAGTATGGGAAGTCCGGTAAGGGATATGGAAGTTCCAAAGGACCCCAAAATGGTAAAGGTTCCTACAAGACAGCTTACAATGCCTATCCCGATGGGGAAGGCTATGGTTATGGTGACTATGATGAATACCAAGAGGAATACTATGAAGAGGATGCACCATACGTAGGTCTGCTTGGTGGGATCGAGGAACACCCAGAACAATCAAGTCCAAATGTTGACAATTCCTATGAAGCCTTTGACCTTCATGACGAAGTTGATGAATATGAAGCAACTGCCCTGAATGCACTAGTGGATGTAGGAGATGAATCAACTGAAGATGACAAGAGCCTTGGGGAAACTCTCCAACTCCAACTAGCTGCATTCGTAGCCTTCGGGCGTGTGAAAGGAAAGGGCAAAGGTAAACCCAAAGGAAAAGGGAAAATCATCAGGTCCAACTTGTCCATCGAACAGCGCAGAAAGCGCCTTTCCGAGATTAAGGCCAAGTCGAAATGCCTTCGCTGCGGCGCCTACGGGCACTGGGCAGGTGACCCCATTTGTAAATTCCCAGGTGCTAAGGGGAATGTCAGTGCCAAGGATTCAAAACCCCCATCGAATCCTCCTAAGCCAACAGCGCACTTTGCAGACTTCTCGGAATCTTCATCAAATGAGGGAGTTTTCTTGAGTGCATCATCACCCAAGACGCCCGTTGCAAACATGGCCATCAAGAGTGCAGGAGCGTCTTCAAAGGCACCCAGTTTGGGGCCTCCCACAACTCCAGTAGGACGAAATGACCCTTCAAAACCTATTGGGAGTAACACAAAGTTCAAGTTTGGCCAGTTTAAGGGGAAGACGTTTTGGGAGATTTTGCATGATCATCCTGACTACTTTGCATGGACACAGAAGAACGCCAAGAGTCCAGGAGCTTCAGAGTATGCCGAGTGGGTGAACCAAAACTTTGAGTATCGGGGGAACATAGTGTATCGCAGAAGTAGTTTGGAGCCACCACCACCTCTTCCAAAGCAACACACACGTTTGAGGAAGCCACCGAATCCACCAAAGGAGAAGTGTGCCAATTGCACCCAATTCACTCGTCAGGGGAGTACGGGTTACACCATCAAGGAGACATGTCTGGTTTGTGGCCATTCAACTACTACCATGAAAGAACTACTCCCCCAATATCCTCATGACCAGTGTCCACATGAAGATAAGGATTTTCGTGGTTCTTCAAGGTCTGTTCACCGAACCTTCTGTAAGCAGTGTTGCACGTATCTGGATGAGACTCCGATGGAGCTCCAAAGGACCCGAAAAGCAGTCTCCACCAAAGTCTTGGAAGCACCCCTGGAAAGAGTTTCCATCATTGAACAACTGGTTGATGATTCCAAAGATGCAACCTTTAGCCCCGACATGCTGGACATGATCCTCAATGATTTTGCCACGTTAGTCGCCACCAGTTCTGAATCTGAGGCCATCACTTCGACCAAACTGCATGAACTTCTCCACCAATCCATCGCCAATGCAGAAGGAGACAGCAGTTTTACCATGGTTGGTGATGTGGAAAACCCTGTGGAAGATTTTGCAGGTCTCGGAGTGTGTTTTCATGGGGACGAGCCAGATGTAGAGATGTCTGATGGCTTGGTGCATGTGTTCCAAGAGACCCGTGACATGTACGACATGAGCGATCCCAATATCTATGTCGTGTTGGATGAAGGGTGTAACTCAACTTGTCACTCCAAACATTGGGCTGAAGTAGTAGCTGTCAAGCTGAAGAACTTGGGATACCAGTTTCCATTCAATGACACCAAGGGGAAAACCTTCTCTGGATTGGGGACTGGGGGAACCTCGACCGAGGGATCCCGTACATTGCCTTTCAGCCTGAATTTCATGGATAGCAAGTGTACACCCATTCATGGGGTACTTGAGACGCACCAACTTAGTTCCGGGAAATCACCACTCTTGCTGTCACTGCATGCTCAAGCCCATCTGGGACTTGTCAAGGACTTGAAGAATGGAACAGCATCCATTGATGGTAATCAGTTGCCAGTTTTCAGATGTTCTCACACAGGTTTGATGATGTTAGCAATCACCCCAAATCAAATTGATCCGACAGGAAAAACGTCCCATCACACTTCACAACAGATCCCAAAATGCCACAGAAAGTTTCGAACTGCCTTTGCCGCCCTATCCGACGAGCCTGGTTCGCCGTCGGCCAATGAGATGTTGAAGTCTTCAAGTGGCTACAGCTCGTCGAGCGCAGCTCACATCGAAGATGTTTTGAACAGCTGTTTGAGGGGACTGGACAGATCCCGATGCCTTGTGGTCACTTCAGGTGCTCGTTGGACTGGTCGACAGCCAAGCTTTCCTGGCGCTAAGGTTCTTCAGATTGACTGCAGGCATTTCCATGATCCTGACAATGACAGGTCGATCCGAGGTTGCACTGGACGACATCCTAGCATTATCCGAGGAGTTGCATATCATGAGGCAATGAATGACCTCGTTGAGCAGGTGACAAATTTCTTGAGGGCTAACCCGAATGGGAAGCTTGTGATTCACTTGTACTGCACCAGTGGTCGTCATCGCAGTGTTGGATTGGCAACTTTGATCTACTACTTCTTGGACGTAACTGATTGGAGGGAGCCTTTGCTGATCCATTATCACAGCCCGGAGTGGCGTGAGATGACTTGTGGAGGCCATTGCAGCCTTTGTGCAACAGCCGACACCAGAGAGCTTAGAGACTTGATGAACAGGTACCTTCCTGACGTGCGTGTTGTGGATGAACCTGATAGGTCACCAGGAGTTGCTAGGCCGCCTGAGCCTGCTAGGCGACCGGCACCAGGGCCTACTACAACGGCGACGAGATCTTTCCCCACGTTGACACCAGCCAGGACCGTGCCAGTTCCAGTCCGTGCTCCTATGCCACCATCCCTTGAAGGTACACCGACAAGGACGCCTTTGACACCCAGGTATGTTCCAGCATATCCACCTCCAAGCCGCAGTGCTGGAGACTCATCTCGTGGAGGAGGAGTACATCACGAAGGAGATCGTGATGACCGAGATTATGGACGAGATCGAGATGACCGAGATTATGAACGAGGCCGAGATGCCCGAGACCATGGCCGTGATCATGGAGGACAAGACCGAGACTTAGCAGTACAGGTTCTTGCTAATCAGGTCCAGGAGCTTTCAGGTCTTGTGAGGCAGGTGCTTGAAGGAGAACGAGCTGATCGTGGAAGGACCAGAAGGAGATCCTCTTCGAGCGGCAGGCGTGGTCGGCGATCTCGAAGCAGACGCCGTATGCCATCTCCAAGGGTACCTTCTCCAAGGACCCCTCCATCACCACCGAGGCCACCGATGCGACGTCCATGTGATGAGTCTCAACGACAGAGACTTGAGAGGGAACTTCGCGACATCTTGAACGACAGCAGCGGAGACCCATACTGCTGGAATGTCGACGAAGACATTCTTTCTTGGCTCATCTCTTCTGCAAAATTTTGGGGAAACAGAGATCGGGTGATCTGGATTACAGACCCCAGCCTTCCTCATGAGGAGCAGCAGCCGCAAGGCATCAGGGTGGACATCAAGCTCAGATCCCATGTGAGGAGTACTTTGCTTTCAGGTGGCAGATGGATGCGTCAACAGGGTTGGGTGAGATCGTCTTTCTACCGACCACGTGATTCCACAGGCACGTCGTGGAACAGGCTTCAACGGGAAGAGGCTGTTGGAGAGAACGTCGATCTCCCGACTACTTGGGCCGATTTGGTGATCTTCTCACATCGAGACGTGCGCCCGCGAGCATATACGGGGCGCGTGGTCTTGTTGTCAGGTGGTCAGGGTATGAAGTTGGAGCCCCAAAAGGGTCGAAAGGCCGCCCCAAAATCGGAGCCCCAAAGGCAACATCATAAGGATCCACCAGTTCCACCACAGCCTCGTCGGTTTATGATTTGTACAGATGATGACATGTTCAAGGGAGATCTCAAGATTCAGACCCCGAAAACTGAGTCAACCGACTATAGCACAAGTTCACCCGATGGGAGCCCTGTTGCCAAACTTGTGAAAAGCGAACCCTCCAATGAAAAGCCTTGTCATGAGAAAACCCCAAAGGATGAAGTGATCATCAAAAACGAACCCGGTGATGTATTGCCAGTTGGACTCATGGCCAGAGATCCAGATGGTCCCAACATGCATGAAGTTGTTCTGGACTCCGACACCGATGTTGAAGTGCATGAACATGGTCCAATTGCCATTCAACCCAATGAGAGAGTCACCATGGGTAGGAAGCACCGTAAAGCAGTGTTGGACGGTATTGCCAATTTGAACAAGAACGACATGATGATCCAGAGTGGACTTGGTTTGATTTCCAATCCCAATCGAGATAGCAAGACAGTTGTGTTCACTTCCCATCCGTTCGTGTTCGTCCAGGAGTCTGGCCAGCCTTTGGTCGACGTGATCGACGTTGGTGTGGGGGCCAGTCATCTTGACCCTGAATTTGACCCCAAAGATTTTTGTAATCTGTTGGAGGGGTATCAAAACATTGTCATTGCCATTGGATACAACAACTCAAATGATCCATTGGGACATGGTCGTTTTCTGGCAGAAGTGGAGTTGATGTGCGACTTGGACAGCTGCAAGTTTTTGCACATAGATGTTGCCATGACTGATCGATGGGAGAAACATCAACACCCCCAAACACCATATATCAATGACCATGGTTTTGCATTCACATGCAATGACGAACAGTGGACCCATGAGTTTGAGTCTTGGTTTCGTGGACAGACGATGGACGATGTCTTGTCTTGGAAGTTTGCAGATTGGATTGGGAGTTGGGCCAAGGAAGATGATTTGAATCATCAAATGGGGATAGCGTTTGTGGGGGACATGCATGAAGAAGCACATGAAGAGCATCAACAACTTGACGCCCTCTGGGACTCCGATGACAGAGCCCAGGTGAACCCTGTTGAGGAACTGATTTCTGAGGAAACCCTCATTGACGAAGTCGAGATTCCAGGACTTCCACAAGATGAGGTGGAGAGACGCAGGCAGTGGAGAAAGCTTCCAGCCAGAGTGAGGATCGCTGTCAGGCGACTTCACCGTCAGTTTGGTCATGTGCCGAGGCAGACCATGATCCACTTGCTTCGTGCTGCCAGGGTTCGAACAGAGTTCATTGATGCAGTAAAACTTCATAGGCGCACAGCATGTGAAGAAACATCCCGAAAGAAACCCACACACAAAACTGCACTGCCCCACAACTACTCTTTCAACCATAGCGTGGGAATTGATGTTTTTGAGATCATTGATGCAGGTGGTTCCAAGTTTCAAGTTTTGAACATGGTAGATCTTGGGACGACATTTCAACTGTGCGAGGTTGTCAGAACAGGCCAGGGACAGCCATCATCCAGTGAATGTCTGAAAGCCCTGCAGAAACGTTGGTTTTCATGGAGTGGACACCCAGTGAACTTGATGTGTGACCGAGGGTTGCATAACCGTGGTGTACGGTCAAAGTACATGGACGATCATGGCATTCAGGTTTATCACAGCCCACTTGAGGCACCTGAAAACCATGGCCGTGTAGAACGCCACGGGGCCATTGCCAAAGCTCTTTTCCGAAAGGTCTCAAAAGAAACTCAACCTCTTGGCAGAGAACAGGTTGAGTCAGTTCTGCAAGAGGTGCTCATGGTGAAGAATAATGCATCACGTGTAGGAGGTTTTTCACCATCACAATGGGTGTTGGGTAAGGCACCACGCTCAGAGCCCAGTCCATTGTCCGAAGAGCGATTTGCAGAGCTCGGAGCCTTGGAAGCCCAGCACAACCCCGAAAGCATTTTTGCTTTGCAGCATCTTGCTAGGCAGGAAGCACAGAAAGCATTTGTATACCTTGATTGCTCCAAGCGTGTCCAGCGAGCCATGACCAAAAACACATCACCTTTTCCGAGAGACTTCGAAATTGGTGACTTGGTGACCTTTCGCAGGGATAACCAGCGGGGAGGCACACGATGGAGTCCCACAAGTAGGGTGATAGGCCATGAGGGAGAGAGAAATCTATGGTTGCTTTGTGGAAATGTCCCAGTACTAGTGGCCAGTCAGAATGTGAAGGTAGCTACTCCAAGTGAAGCATTGGCACATTCGGTTCTCCATGGGCAGCCTGTCATTCCTGATGAGGTCGTGATCGGAGGTGAACAGCAATCCTTTTTGGATGCTCGAATTTCCCAAGATTCCCAGAGTGACGGATATGAGCCATCCGTACTTGAGGCGCCTGAACCAATTGCTGCAGGCGAGGGAGCTGAACTACCATTCATAAATTGGGGAGATAATAATGAGGATTTACCACCAATACCCGAAGATGAAGAATTGGATAATGCAGGGGTAACTGTACCGGAAATCACCATTGATGGTGAAGACATGTCAGATGAAGTAAATGGTACAGATGAACTGATTTAAGCTGCCAGCTCCAGTCTGGACAGGCGGAGATCAAGTGTTGCCCCTCGTGCCGACAGAAACGTGAGACCCCGTCTTGAAACCCAACCTGAGAGTGAAAGAGGGTCATCGCTTATGCCTTCCAGGCGCGAATCCGTTGACTCAGCAGACAAACCTTCTGCTGAAGCACCACAGCCAACACCACCACAAGCCGCAGGGCCACAATCATGGCCCAATCCGTATGACAGTCTCAATGACCTTCCAGCATCCCTGAGGAGCCACTTTGAGCGAGCCCGAAATGCGGCTGCACAATGGTCCGTAGAACAAGTTGAACAGTCCACAGCCATGTTTACATGTTTTATGGCAGGGAAAGATGAGATTGTAGAAGAAGGCAAGAAGGTCCTGAAAAGCATTCACTTCGAATCAGCGCCACCTGGGGTTCAAAAGGCACTGCAAGCTTCTCGAGCCCAGGAATGGTCAAAGTTTGAAAGCTTCGGAGCAGTCGTGCCACTGACTCCGGATCAAGTGCAAGAGCTTGTTGCTGAGGGACATCAGATTATACCCTCCAAATGGGTAGATGTTGACAAAGCTCAGTACAAGAAAGGCCGAGATCCAAATTACCAGCCACAATACAAAAGCAGGTTAGTTTCCTGCGGAAACTTCGAATGCAGTGACGGTCTGAGGTCAGACAGCCCCACAGCTGACATTGAGGTCCACAACCTCATTTGCTGTTGGTGTGCAGCACATGAGCTCGACTTGCATTCGGCTGATGTGACATCAGCATATTTCCAAGGACGACCTTTGGACCGGGTACTCCTGATGAGACAACCCCGGGGTGGCATCCCAGGAGTTGACGAGGGAATTGTTTACCTCGTAAGGGTACCGATCTATGGACTCACAGACTCAGGTCGTGAATTTTGGCTGCGATTGGACGGAGATGCCAAGAAAAAAGGCATGAAAGCATCACAGTTTTTCCCAGGTCTTTATTTCCTTCCAGGGAGCGATGGTGATACGTGCGCGTTGATTTGCACACATGTTGACGATCTTTTGTACTGTTACTTGCCCGAGGGTAAGGAAGTCATCGAGCGTTTTCTGAATAAGTTCAACATCGGCAGCACCGAGGTGAACGAGTTCAGGTATTGCGGAAAGCAGTTTTCGCGTTCAGGTGACGGAGACATTTTCGTCGACACCGTCGATAACACCAGGAAGATCAAACCAATTCCAATTGACGCTGGCCGTCCAGGCAGTGAGAAGATTTCAGGTGATGACATCACACGACTTAGGTCGGTGACCGGGTCACTAGCTTGGGTTGCTCGCCAGACAAGACCAGATTTGGCGTACCGAGTTAGCCGCCTACAATCTTCAATCAAAAATGCCACAGTCAGCACTTTGTGCGACGCAAACGCAGTCGTACAACTTGCTCACAAAGGTGATCAGGTAAGGCTTCGCTTTCCAAGCGGACATCTCAAATGGGATGAGGTAGGTCTGATCACAATTACTGATGCTTCGTTCTCCAATGAACAGAACTACCGTTCCGAACAGGGATGTTGTCACTTTCTTGGAGACCTCACAGAGATCAAGAGCGGTAGCTGCAACACGTACAGAGTAATGCCTCTGTCTTACAGTTCTACCACGATCCGACGTGTGTGTCGAAGCACGCTCCAGGCTGAGACGTATTCACTGCAGCATGGTCTCGAAGCAGGGGACAAGCTCAGAGGTGTCTTGGCAGAACTCAAAGGCCAGATCAAATCCATGCGGACATGGGAGACTGATGCAAGGAGCTGCGTACCGCACTTAGCCCTCACAGATTGCCGCTCATTGTCAGACCACTTGGCTTCCGAGATCCTGGCGAAGGTGAGCGACAAAAGGCTTGGCATCGAATTACAAAGTATCCACGAATCCTACTGGAATGATGACCGAAAAACATGGGACATCTATCCGAATGGAGGAGACAGGCTGTCATGGATAGCAACACACACCATGATCAGCGACTGCCTTACAAAGAGTATGAAACCAGATTTCATAATTCGAGTGTTGGCAGAGTGCATGTATAAAGTACAGAAGCAGTAACAACACCGCTGCGTTCTTTCTCCGCAATGCCCTGTACAGACATAGCTGTATATATTTCTATGTGACACCTGAAGAACAGGTTGGGTGTCAATTTGTGGTATGTGATACTCCATGTAAAGGCCAGGTTGTCACATGTAGTGTCTGCTGCCATTTCGGCTATCAGGGCCCTTGAGCTACATCGCTATCGCCACTAGCAAAAAGAGCCGCGTTGGACTGCACGATACCGTTGCCAATTCACAATAACTATATAAATACATATACATATACATGTACATATGCATTTATCACACATACATATACGTACATGTATATATGACACCAATATTTACATAACACACACACACACATATATATACTGTATACATATATAGATATTTACTTGTTTGTGTATGCATTGTGCGCAAATGTATCAAATGGTGCCGAGGCATTCCATCCTGGCGGGGTTTGGATCTCGAGAGTAAGATCTTGGCGTCCGACACTCGCAAGCGGCAAAACAGGACGTGACGGGGCAATTATAAGTAGTTAAATTAATAGCAACGTAGCTAATGTTTATGGCAACCTATTGCAACTTACAACAATTCTTCATGATTTCTAGCAAATAGTAGCGATTTTGCAAAAGGATAAGCAAATCTTATACCAGAGTAGTGGTAAATCACTAGTATTTTTGTTTGGGTGACTATGTTTGGTGTTGGGCAATGGCGATGATTTGAAATGCTGAAAATAGCAAAATGATTCATGTAAGGCTTGAAATGACATCAAACCTAAATTGGGCCGGATTCGACATGAACTCGAAAATGCATTGCATCAGCATGAAAGTGACGACCCAACCGAGCTGATGTCATTGGTTTCTACGCCATCCAAACTCTTCCCAGGAACTAAATTAGACCCCAAACCCACCCCATGATGCGTTTGGCGAACATCAGGAAGCGCTGGGCGCCGTAGATCAGTTGGGTCCCAGGCATGTGGCAACACATCGGTCAGGCGAGATGATCGTCTTGGTGGATGAATTTTTGGAAGGTGGCACTCTGAGCGTTGATGATCTCACATCCACGACTCTTCAGGATGTTGGAACCTTGTTATTCCCCACCTGCCAGGTGAGGGTCCCTAGATTTGATCAGAATAATTGTCAGGGTGGGGATCACTCGAAGTAAAGTAATTTTTCTTATGGTTGTTTCCTTGTTTTTTGATTTGTGGGGAGGCTGACACGAGGCAAATTCCCCAGGCGATTTTTTTTTTAACTGGGGTGCAGGTGCCGGAGCCACCAGCTCAGGACGGCTCTATGCCAGGCTCCACCGGAGCGATGTTGGGTGGTTCAATCCTATCCGGCAGCAGCTGATGGAGTCACAGTTGCTGACGGCAGCTGAGTGCGACTGGGCTGGCTGCTTGTGGCTGCTCCCACGGTTGCAGCGCAACCTGGTGGCAGCCCTGGGGCCTGGGCCTGGATTCATGGGGTGCCTTTTTTTTGAACTGTTTTATGTTTGAGAAAAGGGAGCCCACGAGAATTTGGAGCTGGTGCCCATGCATTGATTTTAGTGGTAGTGATATAAATGGGACATAAAATTGAGGACCAAGGAAAAAACTTGCTTGGAACGTGAACAAAAAACCATGCTCTGACAAATGGGACGTATGTATAGTACGTTCCTCATGATTTAGCAGCACTTCACGCCTTGGGATCAGGAATGTGGCAATGGAAAAACCAATAATTAAATTGTTTGAAAGATACCAGGTATTCCTTGATAATCGAATTGGTCAAAGATGGGGGTGCATTGGGATATCCCATTCTCCGACACGAGTTCCCTGAAAGAACACAGGCCTGGTGCCGGAGAAGAATGCTGAGCAGCTTGCAGCCGAAGGCATTGCGCCGGGCCAGTGGCAGCCCACAGCCTTACCCAGAAATACACTGAGATACCTAGAATTCAGTCAAACCTAGGACATACTGCAATGAAGCAATTCCATCCCCCTAGTATGGAATGCCGGAATGCCCTCCATATGCGGCCCTCAAAATGAAAAGATACTACGGTAAACGAGGGTTTCTAATTGGTATTTAACATTTGGGGGGAAAGGAAAAATGTGGCAAACCACATAATAAACAATCCCACCCCCAAAATAGAGCTTTATTAAAATGGGTAATACGGTATGCCCGTATGAGTGGGATGATGTAAATGAACCCCTTTTATCTACGGTTTGTTCATGGGATGGTGCCAATGGCATTGGGAGAGAATCCCACAGTACTGGAGGCATCGACTGGCATTTCGTGGCGGAGGAGATTCGTGCTCTACCGTCGAATGATGCACTTCCTCGCAAGGGCGTGACCACTTCAACAGATCCTTGGCGTCCAAATATTTCCAATTAGATAACCAATGCTTACAGTATGTGGCTGGTGAAACCTAGGAATTTCATGGAATTTCTTCTGAAATGCATTGTCACTATAGAGGAAGGAAACCATAGGAAACCCATAGGCTCAGCATGCCATGAGGTGTGCGTCCATGGCGATGCTCATTTGGGCAACATCATGTGGCACAGGGGCCAGCTGAGATTGATTGACTTTGACATGACAGCAGTGGGTCCCGCGGGTGCTGACGCTTGGCCTTCGTCCTGACACGAAAATGGTGATGCCAGTGGGTGTTTTTGGTAGGGTGCTAGCTTGATGATAGGATCTTAAGGTCTTTCAGAACTCGGAATGTGTCTGCAGAGGTGCTGCACCACAACACTGATGTCATATTCCTTTGCAGGTCATTCTGATTGATGTGGCAAACAATGCTGACGCATTTCAGTAAGACACGGTGGGCGCGTTGGTGCCCCAAGTTATAAAAATCAATTGGTGGGATATCATCACCGACCAATCCTTGTTGCAGTGGATGTTTTCTAGTGGAGCGCAGGGCCCCCAAGGGCCCCAACCCATCGGGCTGAGGATTTGGCATACCTGGTCCTGATGCTGCAGCTCGTCATTATTTTGTTCAGGACCTTGCACCACTGGGGAACATACGAAGTCAAGAAATGGAAGACCCACATCAACAGCGTGTGGGCGTGACACCAACAAAGTTTTGGGTTTGATCTCTGAGACCAGCTGCCTGTCAGGTTTCGTTGCGGCTTCAGCCCTGATGCAGTGGCAAGTGTGGAGGCGCAACGGTGCTTTGCTGAAGGATATTTGTTGGGTATGGCTTTGGATGCTTCAGAACAAGCACTGGAGGACGGGGATGAGGGTTTGCACCCAACCACTTGGCAATTGTCAGCACATGCTCCAATTTTTGGAACAAATCCATGGCGAAGGGTCACCGAGTCACGGAAACATGTTTCGAACTTGCCAGCGCAGGACTTCCTGTTTGATATGCACCGATGGGCCTACATTGGTCTGCTGCAGATGGGTCTGCTTTGTGCAGTGCTTATGAACAACAAAGGGGACCCGCGCAAGCGCCAATTAATGCATGAGCGGGGCCCGGTGTTGCTGCATCCCAAGTTCCTGTCAAAGGCAAAGGAAGTCCTGCGCCTGGCTGTGACGGAAAAGATGGTGCGGGAGCGTCTCATCAAGGAGTGGAAGGTGGAAAGATGTGGAAAGATGTGGAAAGATGTGGAAAGATGTGGAAAGATGTGGAAAGTGGGAATCTGTATTCTAGTTTTGCTTGTTGAACCCCTTTGGTTTTGAAGGGTTTTGCATGTTAGGGCTAGCCTGAGATAGCCATCTCCAACCTCAGTGGCCTCACTGTCTGAGGAGGGCCTGTTCTTCGTGACCCTTTCGCAGTGGCTCTCCTAGGTGCAGCATGGCATGGCGGGATTCCGGAACAGCGACAAAAAGCTTGGAGAACGTGCTGGGCAACCTGGTGGCTGGCTGGACCCACAGGTTTTTTCACCTTGAACCAGGCAAAGACGACCCGTTTTTCTTTTGCTTGTTTAGCTCGCTCTGAATGGCGACCGGCGGCGGCAGGGTGCTGATTTGGGCTGTCACCCCCTGCTGGAAGACTGCATCCAACTGGAGAACTGGAAGAGAATTGGAAGAAAAGGCTGCACGATTTGATGGTTCCAAGCCTGGGTTCTATGGACAGGTTGCGTACATCATAAGTAGTTCCGAGGGTAGTTCTTCAGCTACGTGGTTGGATGCAATTCTCAACACAGTAATAGGAAAATGTTTGTTGGGTGGATCAGTTCTCTTACTGCACACTTTTTAAGGACTTTCACAAGAGAAAGTGAAGCAACATAAGAATCAGATAAAATTGACAATCAGGTTCATATTTGATTTGATTGTATAATCATAGCACACACGCACAATTTATATACCATATGCATGCACACACACACACGGACATATATATTCATATTCATATATACAATAATTATTCATATATGATATATAAATATGTACACATCACGTGCATACATGCATTTTTCCATATTAACTTCACAAATGTGCCATAGCTGCCATAGCTGCCATCGCTGCAGGCGGTGAATCTCACAGGCCCACCGCCTCCTGAAGTTCTCAGATGTTTGGCACCACCCAGTGAGGCCTGGGATCTGGCCGTCTTTGATCTACAAATATGTTCGTTTTTTTTTTTTTGGGGGGGTAGATGGGGAATATCGGAATATATTAATCATGGAATATCTATCTAATCAAATCTACTCTGTATCTGGTACAGTGCTGTCTATCTATAATATCACATAATTGCATATTTTTTTGACACACACGTGTGATGAATGTGTAAATAAACAAGTACATACACTTGCGCTAATGTATTGAAAAAAGTACTAGCTTGATTTTCTTGTCGATTCTTTTGTTTGGTCGTTTATCCATTACTGCAGCATCTGCTTTTTAACAGCCAGTGGCACCTTCGCCAGGATGACATTAGCCAAGAGGATGGAAAAACAGCGTCCTCCGAAAGGTGGGGTAGGAGTCCGGAGTTGATCAATGATACAGTGGATGGATGAAATCCTGCGGCAGTTGATAGGTGGTTCATCCCATTATTCATAGGGTTTCAACCATCCTTTTGGTGCAGGATTTCGCTGGCCCATCCACATCCACACTAGGATGGTTCCAAATTTCCAAATTTCCGAGATGGCCCCAGGCTACGGTCAGCCAGCTCCAAGATCACAGTCATTTTCCAAATAAACTCAACTAAGACAATGTACAGTAAGATTTATTTCCACCAAAGTCACTCAACTTTAATAAACAAGTCGTCTTCTTACGCCAGGCAGAAGGAGCCCATCTCCCCGTTGAGTCCGAAAGTGGTGGAGGAGCTCGCCAGCCTGCGCTGGGAGTTGCAAGAGAGGCAAAGGACTGCCATGGCCATGGCCATGGCCATGACTTTGTGGCCAAAAAGCCTGGGGAAAATCATGGAAAATCCGAGATGAATGGATCCAATACACAACAGGCTTTCTGGGTGGGTTTTTCATGGGCTATTTTGGGAATGTTGAACATGTTGAAAATGTGGCTCACGTGGTCCAAAACCATTGCGCTGAAGTTGAATGAAGTTAATCCATTCGGTGGCCACACGACAGCAAGTTTTGGAGGATTTGACAGCCTGATCATTCGAACCAACTTGCCGCCTTCCAGAGTCTTCCTTTTGGGTTGTCTTTCACTTTGCCACCTTGCTTTGCCGCGGATTCAACTTCATAATTTCCTTGTAGGATTTCTGCTTCCTCCACTGTGAGTCTGGCACAGTCTGGAAGCTTTTTGCTTTGTAGGACAGTGTCGTCGCTGGAAGAACTGGTGGACTTGTCCGGGCTCCCAGGGATCCCAGCACTGGTGCGGAGAAACCAATGGATGCTGACCCTGCACTGGCTGGTTATTGAAATTGGTATCTTTTCTGTTGATTGCAATCATTGTGATTCATGTGGGTAAAAAAAAATAAACCACCTAAAATCATGGTGATTTATTTGGGGGATGGTTTATTATTGCCTTACCCACTGGTAATTTAATATAACTATGGAAAATCACCATTTTTAATGGGAAAATCCACTATAAATCACCATTTTCAATAGCTTTTTGTATGTTTACCAGAGAGTACCCACATAGTGATGATTTCTAATTTTCCCCCCTGCCTCTCCGCTGACCTGCCGGACCTTGCTTGGCCCACAGGTTGCAGACGCGCTGCCGTGAGTTGGAAGATGAGAGCCGCGAGTTCGGAGGACTCAGCTGATCGGCCATGGGCTTGAAACTATGGATATAAATTATGAATATAAATAAATATAGATATGAAATGATATAAATATTAACGCACACACACACACATATATATAAAACACAGAAAAATACATGAATATCTGAATTGAACATATAAATATATGAATATATAGCTATTTAAATATATAAACGTAAATACAAATATAAATATATATATATAAATATCAATAAATAGATAAATATATATATATATACATATGAGTATAAAAATCATAAACATATTAAATTTTAAGCATCTAAATATATAGATAAATAAATAAATATATATATATAAATATTATATATATACATGAATATATGAATATATAGATATATAAACACATAAATATATAAACATAAACACATAAATATATAAATATATACATGTATAAATATATAAGTATCAATATTTATATATGAACATATATAAACATATAAATAAATACATAAATACACACGCATGTGTTTGTTTATTTATTTATTTATTTATTCATACATAGATTACTTCGTAGGTATGAATATATTATAGCTACTACTTTTAAATATAAATTAACACACACACATATATATAATTATATATGTATACGAGGATTGATCTTCTTTGCTGAGCGGAAGCATGGCAGCCTCAGGCTTGTGGATTTGGCAGCATCAAAGCACGAGCAAGAGCAGTTGGAGGTGGGCTCAATTCCGTTGGGGAAGATGTTGTGAACCCCACCAGAGGTCTCCAAACGTTGTTTGTTTGTCCTTGGTTTCATAGTTTGTTTGAATCCTTTGATTCGGCTCCAAGTGAAATGTCATTTGTCAGAATTGACTTTGCGGATTGGATAGGAAGGCGGGGAAGCATATGAGACTCTTGCTGTTCCTCGCTTGATCACGACTTCATGTACACCGACCGCACCGGGTTACGCAGGCGGGCGTCCCTCATGAACGAAGAGACGAAGATGGCCGGGGGATGAAACCTGCAGATGATGAGAGGGAGAGGGAGCCAGCTGGAAAGGTATCAAGAGGAAAAGATGCAACGAGATGAAACTCTGATCTTCCACCACGCCATGGGGCGCTCATTCCCTTTTTTATATCTCTTACCTGGAAATTAACTTCTTATACCGTAGGTCTAGATTCGACAGATTCTACAGACATTTTTTCCATGGCACCGCGCAGATTACATTGCGACCATCAAAGAGCGGCAATTGTCGCGCGAACCCATCCCACCTTTGGGTGGAGACCCCAGGGGCCACGCATTCCCTTGGTCGTTATCAAACTGTTTGGGCACGGGGAGAGAGACACACCCACACATACCATGGGATTTTAGTATGTGTGCATATGCATGAATTTTGATAGAAATTTGTATGGATGTATTTTTCAGTGTTGTTGGGTGATAGTCTCCACTCTTGTCCCTTTCTTCATGCCATAGCCGCCATAGCCGCCATAGCCGCCATAGCCGCCATAGCCGCCATACACCTGATAAGCTCATCCAGCAGCTTGGCTCAAGGTGTCAGTCACAGCAAGGCCGACATTTCAGTCAGCGCATTCCCGGGGCAGTCGGTCCGAGTTCCAAAACCATGGCAGAACTGCAGGCAGCTTGGCAGAGAAGGGTGCTAGGAGATCCTATTTGACCATCATGAATCATGATCATCATCCTGCAAAATCAACCTGGAATGGCCCAAAGCTTATTCTTTTGAACATATCCACTTAGAGTCACTTACACTTAATTCTACTTGATGATCATGATTCATGATGATCCTTGTTCTTTCTCGAACATTGGTCGCCAGTGTTTGTAGTCATTGCCAAAATGCAGGAGCCTGAGGCTGGGGGGCAACTGGTCGGCTTTGCTGAGGCTAAGCTTGTGCAGAACGATGCCTTGGGAAAAGTGGGAGGCGATGTGTTGGGCCGTTGGGCCTGTCCCAGAGAGTTGGACATGAGGATTGAGGAATCGGATATTCTGCACACACATGACATAAGGGTTACCAATGTGATATGTCTGATATGATAGGCTCAATATGTCTCAATATGTCTCAATATGTCTCAATCTTCCATTTTTTCATCCCCGCGCAGGTGAGCGTGATGGTCTCACCTCGGAGGAAGCCAAGAAACGCATGGAGGAATATGGCCCCAATGAGATTCCGGTGACCTGACATGACCTGACGTAAAACCCATGGGGCCCGCAAAAGGACCATGGGAAAACCATGGGAATTTGCAGCGATTTCAGTGGCATTTCTCCAGCCAAGGTGATAGAGACGCCGATTTGGAAGATGATCCTGCCCCTTGTCACACCAGGTTTGCCAGAAGGTAAGTCAAACAGACACCTGACTTTGACAAAACCGTGGGTTTTTCATCTCCCCCTGTGGGTGTTGACTGATTTTATTTTCAAATGCTTTAGGACCATGGGATTAGAATCAGAATGCAGCGCTGGGGATCTTAGCAAATGATGAGTCCAAAGGAGCGCTCAGTCGTTGTTTGGGCAACCGTTATGCTTCACTTTCATCCTCAGCCAGCGATAGTGAAACTTGGATGGTTTCAGGTTCTAGCAAGAATGACCATGTCTCCCAGTTGTTTCAGGTAAACTTTGGAGGAACCCCTGATTTTTGAGTGCTAAAACCATGGCATTCCTGCACATTTTCTGCTGAAAGTCAGCAAGATCGGTCTCACTAGTCATCCCAGAATTGGTTTTCATGATTTTCATGGGAAGTGTCAGGAAACTCGCCCAGATTGGATGATATTTGATGATTTTCATGGCTTCCAGCCAAGTATATTTTTGCAAGGTCTCAGTTCGTGGGGACCATGCCGGTGATGTTGGAAGTGAGCTGTATCATCTCAGCAGCCGCTGGGGACTGGCCCGACTTCTTCGTGATTTTGGCAATGGTCCTGGTGAACGCCGCCCTGGGCTTCCGTGAAGAGATGAAGGCCAAGAACGCCCTGGCGGAGTTGACCAATCAGATGGAGTCAAGTATCCCATGTGCCTCAGATAAGGTCTAAGTGTATGTCGTGTGTGTTTTGGGATCGCTGGGGATGGAGGAGGATAGTATATATATATAACTGATAGTGACTGATATGAAGAAATGCCGAACAAATCACAACAAATCAATTTTGAAGCTGTTTTGAAGGGTGTCTCGTGGGTTATCTTTTGGCCCCTTTTGATTTGAAGGATTGATGTCATGGATTGGGGAGACGTGGATGGTGGAAAGCTGGTGGAAGTTGGTGCAATTGGAAGTGCAGTTGCAATTGGTGAACGATTTTGAACATGTCTTAGACCCTTTCTTCACCTGACCCACTCCCGCAGTTTTGATCAGTTTTCCACTTCATCAGTTTTCATCAAACTGAGTTTCCATCAGTTTTCCATCGGCTTCCGCCACCTTTCACCAAGGTTTGCGGGATGGGAAGACCGAGTCCATGCCCGTCTCCAAGTTGGTCCCCGGGGACGTGATCCACCTGCGTGGTGGGGCCTTGACCCCCGCAGATGTGGAGTGGCTGGAGGCCATATGACCTTGACCACAACGGATGGGACTGTTTTTTCTACCGCAACCATCCTGGAGTGGATGCACCTGGATGTATATACATGGGGGTTTGGACCTGAAGACTAACACCCAAACTGGTCATTTTGGTCGGGAAATTGATGATAAACCAGTTGATTCACAGAGAATGGAAGAGGAGAAATCCAAGGAGAAATCTATTGTTATATATATATATTATTATTATTATCATCATCATCATCATCATTATTATTATTTATTTATTTTTTTCAACGTTTTTTTCTCCTCCTCTCCGGAAAAAAGGGGGGATTTGGTGCCCGTTTGAACTTCCGATTTCCGCCAGGGAGATATCCTGAGCATCGACACCGCTGCGTTGACCGGGGAGCCGCTGCCGCGCAAGTATCCCAGTGAGGAGCCACTGGTCCCAGCTGGAGGGGGATGCCGGATGGATGTGGGGATGTTACCCTCTGGAAATTTAACATAGCTATTTATAGTGGATTTTCCCATTAAAAATGATGATTTTCCATAGTTAGGTTAAATTACCAGAGGGTATGGGGATGTTATCTTTCTATCTATCCATCCATCTATCTTTCCATCTGCATCTAGCTGTGCATATATTATAATATTTATTTTGTTGATGGAGTATTGGTGCACATGAAGATCCATGCATATTGACCGTGAAAATACAAACAAGGGTTGAACCGGGTGGAGTGCACCCTTAGCTGACGGGGTAGCCAGTTCCTAATCCAGTGGTCCCCCTTTATCTGCGGGTCATAAGTCATAAGTCAGAAGATACGTTCATGGTTTTTATCGTGTAGTTCGGAAACTGTTGGTAGCTCTTTGGCTCCCCAGTCAATAGGGAAATGGATACAACCATCGCTCCGAACTGCTCCCTCCGAACCACCGCCAACCACGGATAGTCTACCGCAACCGTGGTTCCAGCCAGAAGTCCGCATCATTTTGAAACCACGTTGACACCTTCCAACGTGTGATGATGCTCTGGCGTTCCCTTGGATCAGGGAACATTTCACCATCTCCAAGGGTAATACCATCCCAAGGTGATGTGAAACCACATCGCCAAAACGAGACACTAACCGACTCCTAGGCCCTAGGATTATTCTCTAAACATTTTCCCATAGAAAGAACATGAGATAGTGGTTTTTACCATCAAATATGGGTGTTTCTTGGATGTACTTGCCTTAAACATCCTTAAACCATGAGTTTTCAGGTACGGCAAGCTCATCTTGTCCGGCACCACCGTGAAGTCTGGGGAAGCTTACTGTGTGGTCCGTCTCACAGGTGCAGCTCAGAGGGCCGCCAAGGATTTTCCAGTTTTTTTTTGGTTTCCCTACAGCTCTGTTTTTCCAATATTTTTTAGTTTGGTTCCAGGAATTTTTCAAGTAACAGACCTTTTTTTGGCAATGTGCTTGAACCTTCCAATCGAAAGTGGAGCTGATGTTGAGCAAAATTTTCGGACCTTTTCGGAGTCTTCGGCTACCTCGGACATTTGAGTCAAACGGCATGAACGGAAACGCATGTCGGAAACAGGAAACGCTATACTGCTATATTTGACTTGAAATAAGACGTCCGACTCCTCTTCAAGAAATGATTTCCCTTCAGAACTGAGCATTATGAATGCCACTGCATGAAAAAGCACACTTTCATATTCTTCCTGTTTCCTACAGGTTTTCCCGAGAAATCTGGGCGCAAAGCCTGGATCCCTGCAGGTACCAACACCGAGATTGGTCAGGGCCAGGCAGATATCATGGCCGACCGTGCCACTGCCAGCGTGTCCGTATTCGAGCAGAAAGTCATGGTTCCCGGAAGGCATGGGAGGAAGTGGTGTCATGAATGATGGGAATTGCCGCGAATTGTATCTTCATACAGTTGTAACATGTTGTAACTATAGGTTGGTGAATTGTGTATTTATAACTGTTTTATTGTCAGATATAGTCTGTTGTTATATAAATCTATAACTCTCTCTCTCTCTATATATATATACAGGTAGCAACCATCAAAAAAGACAGAAAAGTACCATCCTACTAAAATAGCAGTAAATTACGTTTCTATCTTTCGTTGGTCCTGTATATTTCTCCCTCTGGTCCCCAAAATTTCTGAGCTTTTAATTTGTGTGAAATGTACCAGCTAGAATTTAGCCAGACATTTGGGAAGAATGGACGTAATAAACGTTAGCACATGAAAATGATTGCCGTGCTGCATAGACTGATGGCGACTAAGCCAGGAGCTGCATATGGAGATCTCTTGCAGTCAGTCCTTGCAGATTCTCACTTCCACTCCTTATGTATGTTTGGCGATATAGATGCGCATTGCTTTGTCCTTTATATACATATATATGTGCATATATATATATTTATATATATATATATACACATGCATATATATATATACACACATATATATATATACACATATTATACACCTGAAGATTTAGTTGCATCTTGCTTCGGCTTTCTTACCGAGCCACATTGGCTACCAAATTTCTCCAAGTTAACCCCACAAAAATCATCATAAATCAACCGTATGAGGACCGCACATTGCGTTGCCGGGTTGCCACTTCAGTGAGCGGATGATCATGAATTTTCGGGGGTAAAAAGTCTTGACAGACCAACCAAAGTCTACGACTAAATATGCACGGCTAATACATAAGACATGGAGAACATGAGGGTATCCCAATATTTTTTGTTTTTAAAATCAAAAAACATCCGAATAAATCTCATTAAATTACAATTTTCTTGGTTGAATCGCAATTTTCCGGTGGTTTCTAGGGCCTCAAATCTTGCTTTGTAACTTCTTGGGATAACCATTTGTGATAGATATAGCCACATTGATAGTGGTTTATATTCCGACTGATGGTGGTGATTGCACCGGTGATACCGAGGTTGTCAATGGGAATTTCAGGATCCTAAAATGTAGGTACGTTAGTACCATATTTTTGGCCATATTTTCTGGGGATATTCCCTTACAATGGCCACTGAGGTTGTGGTCAACATCATCATCTCCATTGCTGTCCTGGATGCCATTTGCATCGTCCTGGTACAGGGCTTGGTGCGTAACGGCTTCGATGTGGACTTCAAGGGTGACTTGGGAGGAGAAGCGGATTTTCATGGGGATCTTTTTGAGGGAATCATAGTAACTACTTAGTGCAGAAACATTGGGATGTAACTGATATATATATATATAATCCACCAACAATGAGATTTTTTTCGGATTTCTAGGGATGAATAGTAAAATTGGGAGATGGTGCAGCCTACACCCAACCAACAATAGTTGATGAAGCACTAAATGGGAGGTTTCCCGGAATGGGGGTGTACCGGTGTTCCGGGTACCCCCAAATCATCCAAACATTAAACTGGATCATGTTAGTATTGAAACCTATTGAAACCCATGGTTTTGGAGATCCCCCCATTTTAAGAAACCACCAATTGATTTGGGGGATCGATCAAAACCTTTTTAATAACTATCCTGTGGTAAGCTAACAATGGAAAATGACTCATTTTTACGTATATAATATATATAATATATAATATAAAGTTGATTTACCTATTAAAACCTGGTGATTTTCCAGTTCGCTATGTTAGTTGGATGGCACCATGGACAACATTCCAGGAAAACCGTACATTTGATGGGGGAAAACGATGGTTTGTGGAGTAGCTCTTCAACCAATCCAGTGATATAACCATGTGACTGGATGAAGACTTCAAGACTTTCTACTTGAAACTGCTGGATGATCACTGGATTGGTGGCCTTTCATCCAGTTTCAAGTAGAAAGTTTCAGTGGATTGGTGGCCCTCCAAGGCACCTTGCTGACGGCCCTCTCCATTCTCATCGCTGCCGTGCCCATCGCCTTGCCCTTGGTCTTGCAGGTGACCATGGCCATCGGAGCGTATCGCATGGCCACGGCCACCTGGACGACTGATGGAGGGATTCTTATAGGGATTGGATAGGATTTTAGGAACATTTCATGGGATTCTTATGGGATTGAATGGCATTTTATTGGGGGCAAACATGGGATTTTATGCTGATTTTTGCAGATTTCATAAGATTTTATGTGGATTTACATAATGGTGATATCATGGGATAAAGCCAACAAATCAGGGTCAACTGACAAACGGACATGAAAAACCCATTGGAAAACGCGTGCAGAAACATGATCTACCAATGATGGATTGAACGGAGGCTTAGCAGCCCTTAGCAGGGGGATTAAACCATCAACATGATCAAACATGTGGATATAAGTTTAACCAACAACAACAGAGATGCGATTGACCAAGTTTTCTGGATTCAACAGTGGAGATGGTTTCAGCAATGACTAATGGAGATTTTTTGTACCAACCACATGTGGTCCAAAACTCGCCAATTTCTGGGATATCATGGGAATGAAATCAATGAAAGCATGGGGGGATGCCAACATTAGTAGCAAGGATTTTGGGGCACCCGCTTTGAAAAAAAACCCGATGGGTGTTTGATCCAGGGAAAATCGGTATAAATATGATGGACTTTGAGTGGTTCTCATCCAATGAACATAGACACGAAATAGATCCGAATAGTGGTTCTAATTACCAGCAAGCGCCGAGATTTATCTAGCCAAAGGCGAAGGGAAATTACTGTAAACAACAATTCATGGGATAGAATTGGATGTCACCAGCAAAACATGGATGAATATGCAAGAGCCACAACAACTATTTGTTTTGGCTCAATCGAAATGGTGGCTTGGCTTGACAGATAGACTTGCTACAAACCGAATAGAAATTCGGAAAGGGTGAAAACATATCATCATCCCGGGGTCCCCGAGTGGATAGCATTCCCCCGATTTTGTAAAGATCATGTTCTTTGCTTAAAACAGCTGAGACTTTTTTCCGCTCAGGATCACCATGCCATCGTCACCCGCATGTCGGCCTTGCAAGATATCGCCTCCATGGATGTCTTGTGCTCCGATAAGACCGGAACGTTGACCACCGCCAAGATGAGCATCAATTTGGAAAAGATTTGGACTGCCAAGAAGGATGGAACCTTGGAAACCTTTTTGTGAAAAGTCAGGGGAGTCATTGCAGGAGAGTCACGGGGTGGGGGAGATTCAGGGGAGTGTCTTAATCTGTCTTCTGCGTCGAGCTGAGTGGTTAGGGAAGAGCCAAGGGGGTGTCAGCAGTGTTTCAGGAGTCGAATTGAGTGATCGTAGCAAGATGGGTTGGAGGGGGTGGGTTGGGAATGCTATTTGAGAGAATGTACAATGGACCCACATTCACTAGTGCCGCCACTGTGATGTAAAAGCCATTGTACTCCCAGCAAGGCTTGCTAAGAGTACATTAGATACACACCTGCCCATGCAGAGACAATTTCTAGTAGACCCCTTCAACGAATTTTGAAACCACGCCATGATTTTAGTAGGATTTTACTTCTCTATCTCTTTCTGGGCTTGCTGCTGAGGATTCAGCATCCTGGATCCTTACTATTACAGGCGTTTGGTGAATGGGCGAATGGGTAAGACAATCATGAGGTTCCCTACTTGGAGACACAGGGTTGGGATAAAAATGCGCGCGTTGGATGCATTTGGCAGGTAGCTCTCAATTGACAGATGGCGAGAGAGAGAGAGAGAGAGAGAGAGCGAGGGAGGGAGGGAGGGAGAGAGGGAGAGACAAGAGAGTTGATAGTTGATACAGCTTACCCAACCAGATCTGGTTGTGATTTTTCCTGATCCGGCAGGTCACCTAACCAGGAACTGGCCGCGCAACAGATGTTGTTGGTCATGGGCATCATGTGTTCCAACCCCGACAAGAAGGATGATGCTATCGATGGCGCATTGCTTCGCGCGTGGGACAAGATGAAGCAGGAACAGGGTGCCATGGCTGCATCGATCGGCTAGGGGGATGCCCCAAGATATGGTATGTTTAGGTGCCACATAGTGCCACCCTGATGGCTAACAATGAGGTTCGGACCCAGGTGTGTTGCTGGAACCCACCAGCCTGAAGTGTGGAGGTCCTTCTCCTAAGCGAGTTTTTGGATGAGCCCAAGTTACTTGCAAGCTTCTTTGGAGCAAACTGAGGGGTAAATCTGACACTGGAAATCACCGGCAGCATGGTCAATACATGGCAGGCTTGCTCAAGACCGAGGTGATGCACCTGCCAAGATGCGCGAAGGCTACCAGCAATTGGACCTGACAGGTTTCAACCCAGAAGTGCCACTCGAAAGAGCAGATTATAAACCCTCCTAGAATCTGCAATGAATGATGCAAGGTTGGGTCAAAAAGTTGGGTACCCACGGAACCAAGCATTGGGTAGTTTGTAGTACAAAGATTGAGGGCACGGGCCAGAATTGGGTCCCACAAATTTCCAGTGGTATATAAATATATAAGCAATAAATGCATAAACAGAAGTAACAAATCAATAAATGAATGCTCGCACACATGTACACACATAACACTAACACCTGTACGCACATGTATAAACAGATAAACAAATGAATGAATAGAACCCTCAAAGTCACCAGCATCTTTGATTTTCTTGCGCTTCAAATACCGGTCAATTCTTTCAAAGCCCCCCACTGCTGCCCTGGGCCCTGAGGAAGCGCACGGTGGCGACGGTGAAGCGCCTCTACGACGACCAGAAACTCATCGTCGCCAAGGGCTTAGCCTCCAAGATCCTCGACACGTCCTCAGGCGGGGATTGGAGGGCTCTTTGGGCCCCCGAACCTACGAAACAAAAAAGAGATTGACAACAATCTCACGCCGGGTTGGGGTTGCATCACTTTTGATCTTCGACTCAAACTCTGGACCGCTCAAAGATTCTTTGAATGGGTATTAGGGGGAGAGCTATATGCCTGACCCCAATTTTTTTAACGTTTCCCAAGTATCCCCAAGTCAGTCTTTATTCTGGGCCTCAGGCGGTCAGGACTCGGGCAAGCTGCAGTGGACCTGCGAAGAGTGCAAGGAGGAAGGCTTTTTGGAAATGGTGCAGAAGACTGACCAGGAGCTGTCCTCCAAGGGCTACAAGACCATTGCAGCTTGCTTGCGGATGTAATGCGGTTCACCCCATGAGGAAAGTAGCCTAGACCCTGACCAATTTGGCCCACTATCCCAAGCCTCCGATGTTTGTCATGAGGGCCCTGCCAGATTTGGTCAGTCCCTGGTCCCGTCGGAACTTTGGGAAATGGGCCGAGGCCGTGGCTGCGGGCATTGAAGGCAAGGGCATGCATTTCTTGGGCCTGCTGCCCATGATCGACCCTCCTCGCCACTTGGTTCAAGGCTCGCCATTTGGAGCCGCATCTTGCCACCGCCACCGTCGCGCAACATAGAGAGGGTATTAGCGGTTCGACACGACCAAATTGTGAGAGTCCCGGGCGGCAAAAACAGATCTGCGAGCACGCCAGTTTTGCTGTATTGACGGATTTTGGAGCGCTTGCTTGACTCTGCCATTGAGGTTATGATACGGCCATCACGGTTCAGCGCTTGATGAATTCCGGCGTAGAGGTGAAGATGATCACGGGAGACCACCTGAACATTGCCATTGAAACTGCCAGGCCGTGACCTCGTGACATCTCGTGACCGTGTGGCCGCGGAGATCCGGGGGAGATATTGGAGCAGAATATACGCAACAATGACATGAAATTACCCTCTGGTAAACTAACATAGCTATTGAAAATGGCCATTTATAGTGGATTTTCCCATTAAAAATGGTGATTTTCAATAGCTATGTTAAATTACCAGAGGGTACATGAAATGGGGATGTACATACGGCATATCTCTAGAGACATAACATGTACCAACGGTTGGTCTCAAGATGGGAGAGAGCTGCACCAAATTGCACCAAGCTTCAGTGGCGAGGCGATGGAATTTATTTCCCGTAACGGTTACTGTAAAAGGAACATCACTTGTTCAGGGGTAGTGGGGCAGGCATGTTCTTGTTGCTGGTGAGATTTCATTTCTTTATTTGCTCTGTCTAGCTGTTGCCATGTTCATGGGATTTCATGGGTATGGATGGATAGATAGGCCAGATTCGGATGAAATACAGTAGAATATGGCAAGCTAGGATAGATACATAGATCAGCAGATACACTATTAAACAGAGAAATAGACAATTAGATAGACAGATACATAAATGGCTGCATAGAAGACATAAATGAATGAATGAATGAATGAATGAATGAATGATTGAATGGTTGAATAGATTATATAACTAATTATATAATTAACTAGGCAATTAAGTCATTAAATAAATTAACTACATACAACAAGTAGATCAATTGGAGTAAGTCATGACTCCCGCTCCTAGCGCTAGGATGGTGGGCATGGCCACCAACATTTTGCCCGGTGAGGCCACCCGTGAGGGTGGCCACACAGGGGATGAGACGATTCGTGAGGCCGGTGGCTTTGCCCAGGCGCCGGTCCGACCGTTGATTTGGAGAACGAGTGAAAAAATCCATCATCCGAAAATGGTGAGTTGGATGATGTTTGATGTAGTTTGATGGTTTTGGAACTTCAAAATGATTGAACTCTGGAAGTTCAACATATTTCTTGAGTTTGAAGTGGGGGTTTCTCTGTGGTTTTCGTTTGTTTTGTGTGGGTTGATGGTGTATAAATTGCCGATGGGGATTTCAGGGCGCTGCGTTTTTTTTTTTATTCTCGTTGTTTTTTTAGAATTAAATATCACCCAAACAAAACCCGAGCGGAATGCATGGGATCACTATAATATCCATTTTGAGGGTGCACTTTTTCAGAGGACATTCAATATGACAGGGATTAAACCGGACTATACAAATCCATCCGCTTACATCTGGTATTTTGCCATATCTTTGCGGACACCATATGGCCCACTGGTCAAATCTACAGTTTTCGGTCGCGGCAGGTGCTGCCCCGTGACAAGCGCGAGTGTGTTCTCGCCTTGCAGCGCTCCTATGAATTGGTCGTGGGGATGACCGGTGGCTTTGCAGAGATCTGGGGATGACCGGGGTCATGGGGGGAGGATGATTTACAAGGGAACATGTACAAGAAGATCATGGTTTTACTGTTGAAACATGGGGGAAACTAACTAAAGGCCAAGTTGGCGTTTAATTCAATTCTGGAAAGAAGTTGGAAATACCCTCTGGTAATTTAACATAGCTATTGAAAATGGCCATTTATAGTGGTTTTTCCCATTAAATATGGTGATTTTCCATAGTTATGTTAAATTACCAGAGGGTACATGTTTTTACCCAACATATTTCCAGCCAAAAGATGGTGAATGCCACTGGCTCATTCTTTTCGGAGGCGCATGTGGCTCAAACACCAACCAGGGAAGGATTGGAACCAGAGGAAACGCTTTGGGAGATCGCTAATGCTGGACCGGGTTCAATATATCACCAACCAGGTGACGTCAAAACTCCATCACATCATTCTGAGATTCGGATTGGGCTAAAAATCCGAGTTGGTAAAGATGCGAAATTGAAGAATCACATGCACATGTTCCCATCAGTTTTGATGTCCCGAAGTATCCTTCGTTAAAATCACCATCTGGTTATTTAACATGGCCATGGAAAATCACCATCTTTAATAGGTAAACCTCTATAAATGGGCCATTTCCCATGGCGAACTGTTAAATAACCAGAGGGTAGATATCCCCAAGACATATCCACCATACTTGGGCCTTGGAGGTCTAACAAACCCGGCGGTGCAAGGTGATGGCGTCAACGATGCCCCAGCCCTGTCCGCGGCGCAGTGCGGTATTGCTGTGGAGGAGGGGACCGCCTGGGCCAAACGTGAAAGAAACGCGCGGAAAAATGGGGTTTTTGCAGCGTTCTAGCAGCAAACATTGGGATCTGATCAGAGCAAACTTGGGATTTAAGTGAGTGGTTGGACTGCTTCCACTCGTCCAAGCAGCAAGTTTGATCCATGTATACACGCATTTGCCAGAAAATATGTCTTGATCTTTCCATAGTCATAGTCAGGTTTGATTACCAGAACCTATTGGCCTATTGGATATTCTGGTTGCGTCGCGACGACAACCGCCCGCACCGGAGTGTTGGCTCCGGAGTTCCGGAGTATGTTGGGCCCATGCTGGCTCTATGTTGGGCTTATGTTGAGGCATGTTGGACCATCTTGGGCCTATGTTGGGCCATGTTGGGCCATGTTGGGCCCAAGTTTGGCAACTTAGCCGATTTTACGACGTTTTCAAAAACGTGGAAAAAGACACGATTCTAGAGCAAAAATACTCCACCGCCCTAAGCTTTAAGCTATTGCGATTGCTTCCAGTTAATGCGTGCACACAAAAAATGCTTCGGCACCTTCGGTGCGGGCGGATGTCACCCAAACCTTAGAATCATGCGCATCCAGTCATTGACAGAGGTCATCATATAATCATAGCATACCAATTGTGGGGAATCCGGAGGGGGGAAGGAGGTCGTTTTTGGGATGCTGCTGGTATCTTACCTAGAGTTCAAACGGCTCATTTTACATATTTTACCATCGCAGTAGTGGCAATCCACCACGGGTAGACCGGATAAACCGAGTCATTGACGGGTTGGTGTCAAACGGACGACATTGTTTTCCATCCCCAAAATAGGAGGATGATCCAACAAGAAAATGGGGCTTGGGTTAGGGGTTTAGCTAAACCAGGACGCCACGGATGCCGCCAAGAATGCGGCGGCAATGATCCTCACAACTGAGGGCCTGTCCGCGGTGTTTGGTGCAGTAGTTGAGTCCCGAAAGATCTTTGCCCGACTCTTCTCCTACGTGTCCTACCGTCTTGCTGCTACGATCCAGATCTTGTTGTACTTGAGCGGCTTGGGCTGATCAAGACCTCTCGGAGATCAACGGATATCTCCGGTAGCGGCAATTTAACCACTTTGCTGTGGAAACTTATTATTTGAATAGGTAAATCATCTTTTCAATGGCCATTCTCATCCATTTTCCATAGCTATGCCAGTTTACTGGAGAGTATGAGTATGAGTCTTGGTGTGACACAAAGAGCACGTATAAAACCCTGGCTCGATCGAGGTATTCTGGTCTACGTGTTCGACTGCACCTTGGACCCCTTGTATGTCATCCTGCTGGCCCTCTTCAACGATGTGACTATGATCCCTGTGGCAGAGGACACAGGGGGCATACCAGGCGTTGATTTTCTGGGAGATAACTTCATCTTGGGTCAGACATTTATATTACAAGTCCGCCCTCGAAGGGGTCCATATGTTTTTTTTTCCTCTCCCCCATCTGACAGAACTGCGACTTGAACGGCTAAAAAAGATCCCCCAGCATCCAGCAGCTCCGACACTCTGCTAGGACAACCAGACAGCCGCCGCGGAACCTCAGCATGCCGTGGTGGGACATCTGATTGGCTTCTCGATGACGCTGGGTATCTTCCAATCTGTGGCCTCCATCATCTTTTACCTCTGCAGCTGGAAGTTATTTGGAGGTTTAGGGAGGTTTGGGCTGGGTGCTGCGGTGACAGTCTTGATCTTCTGCGCCAGTGACCTCACTGCAAGGTCGCTAGAAATGATGGCTAGTAAGGGTGACTATCCCGAAATGACCCTATGACAAGTTATGCAACTTATCAGATACTAATACCATCTAATACCTATGTCAGATACTAATGACCCTATATATGTCAATAATGAGTTCATACCAGATACAAATATGGTTTGGGCCTGTGAGTTGCTTTGGATTCTGGGGCCTCATTGGTCAGAAATCTCTGCCTAGTGAGCCCCAATGTGACATATGACACCATTGGGCACATTTCTAAACAATGGTGGCAAAAAGCATCCCTCAGTTTGGACACTTATTTGGAATCGCCCATTGTTAGAATACCCTTGTGAAAAGTTATGAAACAACATATTTAAGAAATATGAATAACATATAATAATATATAATAATCAGTACTGATAATATAATATGGTATTCTAATATCGTGCTATTCGTAGATTCTTAGGTACCATTGTTATAAAAATCATTCTCCACAAAGCCAAGGCATGGACATGGGTCTGATCCATGGCATTGAGAGCCACCGCGAAACCGGACATTACCCCACCAGCGTCCATGCACAGAACGCCATCTGGCTCCAGGCGGCAACCCTGAGGGCACCCCTGGGCCTAAAAAGTTAATGGGGAAAAGGTAGGAAAAGGATGGTTAAGGATGGTTAAGGATGGTTAAGCATCAAAGCTTAAAAGATAACTTTTTTAACAAAGCCATGTGAATCATTAAAAGAACTCAGCATGAACATGAATGTCAAATCACCAGGGCCTGTAACAACCAGTTGCATCTATTGCTGGCAAGATGCCCGGCCTGGCACCGGAAACTGTTCCTCAATTCAAGTGACCATCAATAATTACCTCTTCCGGAAAATCTCTAAATGTTCTCTTTCCAGAATTGTCTAGATAGGGGGGGAAGACGATTTTCAATTGGAAAAACACATCGTAACCCTGGTGATTCTATGTTCCATGCCTTACCGAAGAACCGCTGATTTCAGGTGTCGATTGCTGCGGAGTTCCTCATTTTCTCGGCTCGCTCGCCTGGGCTGTTCTTCTTCAGCAGGCGGAGTAGAGCAACGTGATCTCAGGAACCAGATTAAATCATGGTCTTATGCAATGGTATTAAAATGAAATTGTAACACCATTATATAATCTGACGTACTTTGGGATTATGAACTAGTCGTTGATGTTTAAATCATGGCAAAGAACTCCGGTATTTGGCATCTATATTCCTTTTTTGGTTGATATGGAGGTTTCCGAAATCATTTAAGTCATTATGTAGACCATGACGTAGTAGTGAAACAACCATGCTGCTTTTTTTCGGGATCCCGACATCCAATGACTTAAGAGGCCTCCATCTAACATCTTCATGGGCTCCAGCCGCTGGCAAGGCCTTCCACTGAGCTCCTCTTCTCTACCATGGCGGGCAATGTGGTCTCGACCTTGCTGGCCGTGCAGCCTGGTTAGCCTGGTGGCGACTGGCACCGGGAATTTTCGTCGTCAAACCTCATGGATTTCTGGGGGTTTATATGGGATATCGGTATATTTCACTGCTGATTTATGCCAGATTAGTTCATATTAGCCAGCATCATTCTTGTTGTGCCTTAGTGGTGAATTGCCCACGTTTTTGGACCAACGGAAAACCCCATGGAGAGCAAAATCCCATGGTTTCATAGCTTCCTGTGATTTCACCTCGTGTCACTGCAGACTTTCTGGGCTCCAAAATGGCACCCTACGCGGGTGACAACGTCCATACCCAGGTCATCCATCAAGCTTCAAAGCTTGCTGACTGCTTGCATAAACCACAAGATCCCTGTGACAAATTGAAAAATTACGAAGTTTATGCATGTAAACCGTGTGAACCTTCAACATCTCCGATTCTCGCACCTTCAACCTCGTCCTGTTATAAGAATCCCAGCCCCATATGAGGACGCTATGGCCGCTATGGCCATCTGCAGCTGACGGGGCACGGCACCGAGGTACGCCTTCCCCGAGCCTCTCAGCGTGGGCGAGTGCGTCACTGTGTGGGTCTACGACATCGCTGCGCTCTTGGCTGTGGACCTGGCCAAGATGGTCTACAAGCGCCTTAGCAGGCCATGTGAGGCCACGGCCGGGAGGGGGATCCAAACATACTAGTGGTAACCTGGTAGAGTCTGAGATAACCCAACAAAAATATCTAAGTTATATAAATAAATAAATAAACAAATAAATAAATAAATAAATATATATATATATTTATATATATGGGTGTATCTAGATTAACTTCAAGCAGGAAACTGAAGATTGAAGCCAAACATTGGGAATTCAAGCAGCAGAATTAGAGGCGCTTATCATATTTATCATGCAAAAGTTGGGATTTCAGCGCGATAAGCATGGGATTTTATGGGGAGAAGCGGGCGTGGAAAGATGTGATGTTGAGACCACAGATGGGGCGGCCATTTGACTACCAAGCATCCCATTTGTGAGGTGCCACATTTTTGACCCATGCCATCCCATGCCCCCCAAAAAAGGGATATTTACACACCCTAGACATGTGGATGTCATCCAGGAACGTGATGGTTTTCGCCAGCCTGTTGGGGATTTTACCAACACAGATAGTGACCCAACTTGGAAACTCGAAACAATGTGATGTACGGTACCTACAAAACAAGAATGGCAGATTTTTTTTTAGGTGGATACACCGCAACCAGCGATACGGGGCGATACGGGGCGATATGGGGCATCATGAAAAAGGGTGTGGTTGGACTGGTTGAATTACCGTGTAATGTCAACCCCGGATTAATAAACCATGGTTTATTTTCATTAGGGGGGTACTCCTCCAATAGTCATAATCCAATACTTAAATGGTACCACCCCAATTAACCAGCCGTTTGGGGTTTATTAATCCGGGGTTGACATTAAACTCAACCAGAATGGGGGCAGATGGTAAAAATCATTTCACCAAGGGGTTGAATTTCCGTGTTGTCGTGGGAGACTTTGGGTTCGACCAGCAGGATCTTCAACCAACAAGACGTTTTGCCGCACTCTTGCCCGATAGAACCTGATAGAACCAACAAACAGAGTTGTCAAAAAACGGCATGGAGTTGGGATGAAATCCAGTTTCTGTAGTTGTGCTGGTGATATCCAATGTTTGGTGGACTATATATTATATATATATTATTTGGTATTATTTGGATATATTTGGTTATATTACCCAGAATTGGGGGTACAATCTACGGGACATTTTTAAATCGGGGACCAAAAACCAATGGTAAAAAAAACAAACAGTATTTTCCCTTTACCCTTTGGCGATTTATAACGTAGCTATGAAAAATGGATCATCTATAGATCATTTATCAATAGAGCCATAGCCAAATCATCTATTTAATAGTTTATCTATAGATCATTTCCATAGCTATAATCATCTGTTATTAAACTATTTAAATATGCTATATAAATTTTCCATGGCTGCCATAGCTAAGGTTCATCCATGAGGCTGATGCTGCGGGAGTCATCGATGAGAGCCTTGGTAGAACCCATGGATGGAGGGTGGATGCGGGTGACTGGTCACGGTCATGGTCTAATGACTTGGATATTTGGGGCACGACTACGGAAAAGCCGGTCTTTGAGAAATTGGACCCTATCCCCACAAGCAGCCCCAAGCTCCAAATATATTGATCTTTGTCCCCTCAACCTCCCACACCCTTTAACCCAAAAGGGCCAAAAGGGTCGTCCTAGGTACCAGATGGCCTTGGAAGATGCCCAGTTGAAGCATGGGGACGAGACCCAGCCCATTGAGAATCCGGAGGCCCACCTGAAAGCCTACCGCGAGAGTGTGAAGATCATGAAGTCACTGGGCCCAACTTGGCCCCAAGTCATACCCACGGGATGCCGTTTGGGATCAGCACTTTATTTTAGGCCATAAAACCTATCCGAATTTGGAGTCTATTTTTGGACGATACCCGTATTTGAGATGTACAAGTGGTCGAATCGTAAAATTACCATCAAAGGCGTGGTCCAATCATGAATTTACCACATTGCTCCATCTTGGTGCTCCTAGGCAGAACAGCGTGAGGTTGTCCCAGAAGCAGAGGGCTTCCATGAAGTTCTTGGCCACGGGACAACAGCGCGCCAGCCGTGTGATCTCCCAGTCCTCCAACATGGCCGGCAAGGGTCACACTCAGATGCGCAGCGCCTTGGAACCAAGTCACGGATGGAAACTCTGCAGGGTTTTTGGCTTGCAGGTTCACATGCGACATATGGGCTAGTGTGTGTGTGTGTTTTTTTGTTTTTGTGGGTGTGTCACATGAGCAGTGTTCAAGACCTCCGCTTTTCCGGGATTATACTATCAAATATATTGTGGATGATCACAATCCATCAAGGGAATCCCTATCAACCAACCGATATAAAGGGACGACGCAGGGATTTCGAACACTGCTGACATGTGCCTGCTTCCGTACAGACATATATCACTATACATACTCCAGACGCTACCTACCCGACCTACCTATGTTGGTTCCTTCGTTCGTTCCTTCCTTTGTTCATTCGCATGTACGTACATCTGTACACACATACACACATCCACACACACATACTATACATATCTAGGTATGGGCATATGTCCAAACAGATGCAAGCACCAGAACTTATGCACATTAGACAGCATTTAGATCGGACAAGATACAAGAAGGTCCAATAATTGGATTGGAATAGATCCGATCTGATCCGATTGTATTGGAGTAGATGGATTTTATTGAATGGATGGATGGATCGACTTTTTTTCCCCAAACTCTATTTATTGTTCAACATGCATCTAAGTAAACTGAACAATGTGGAACATCCACATGGAATGATGGTCCCCCACCATGGCAACCATGGCCAGGTTCTGTGAAGATGGGCGACGATCTGCGGAAGCGAACTCCAGCCACCTCCGTTCGCTTCAAGTGATGCCACGACGCAAGGGGCGCAGCGGCAACCAGGGATGGGATGATGGGATCAGCCAAGAGTTGGGCTTCAAATTCTGGATTTCTGGATTTAAGATGATTTAAGACTTAGAAATTAGAAAAATAAAATAGGGTGAATAGCAATTTTGACCCATATCCAGCACACAAAAATGGGAGAGTATGAGCCAAGAGGCCAAGAGGTGTAAGCTCCGAAAATTTGAACATCGCGGTTGGGATGATCTGAGAATAAGCAGGTCCCATCATTGCCCAATTGTGCTACCAGTTTTTCAGGAGGCAGACAATTTGAATCTTTGTAGCCTTGGTAGCTGCCAGAAAAACTGTCAATTGTCGGTTGGAATTCTTGGAAGCTGTTGGTGAGGATTTCGGACGAAGGTGTTTGGAACATCTAGATTTGGAAAGCCGCAGTGCATGATCAAAGCACGCAACATGTTTAGATTGAAACTTCAACTAGCTCAATATGATTCCAATCAGGTCAAGCCCAGCTTTGTCCAGAGAGGACAGCATAGGTATGTATCACTGGGTCATTGTCCAAGTGATTGGAAGCCACCCTCCGGCATCTCCGACATTAATGTGGCCTCTTTTCCCCGAAAAGGTGTCAGCCACAGGCGTTACATGGCGCGCTTCGACGCGCCGTGTTAGCGCCCTGTTATCGCTTTGTGAACATGTCAAGATATCAGCTGAGATCAAAATGGGCGGATCTGCTTGTTTAGGGACATGGGGCACGCTAGTAGAGGTTGAGGCTTTAAAATCTTTAATGACCAAGCTTCAAGTAATTCCAGTGAGATTCACATGTTTATTTTTTCTCCGAAAAAAGTGGGCATTTCGGAAACTGGGAACCATTTTTACTACCATTGGGTCTAGCAATGTTCCCTAGGTCGGAGCAGTATTCGCTCCAACCTCTCCTCAGAGCGTGATTTGGAGATGGAACGGTTGAAGCTGAGGCAGGGTGTGTTTTTTATATCTGGATGGCATGGTGCAGCACTGCAATGCACTGCAGGTGGCAATGAAGAAATATGGCCATGACACAGGTGGATCATGTTATATGATACTATCTTATATTATCATATCTTATTATATTATATTATCTTATATTATCATATCTTATATCATATTATATCATATTATATTATCATATATTATATTATATTATGTTATCTTATATTATCCTATCTTATCATATCTTATATTATATTATATTATCTTATAATATCTTATCTTATCTTATCTTATTATATTATCTTATATTATCTTATCTTATCATATCTTATCATATCTTATATTATATTATATTATCTTATAATATCTTATCTTATCTTATTATATTATCTTATATTATCTTATCTTATCATATCTTATATTATATTATCTTATCTTATCTTATATTATCTTATATTATATGATGTTATATTATCTTATATTATATTACCTTATCTTATATTATATTATATTATATCATCTTATATTATAAGATCTTTTCTTATCTTATATTATCTTATCTCATCTTATATTATCTTATATTATATTATCTTATCTTATATTATATTATATTATATTATATCATCTTATATTATAATATCTTATCTCATCTTATCTTATGTTATATTATATTAGCTTATCTTATCATATATTTTATTATATTATATTATATTATCTTATATTATGTTATGTTATATAATACTCTGTATATTATAATATGTTATATTATATCAGTATTACTGTATATTATAATATGTTATATTATCTTAAATGATATAACTTTTAAAAACATTGATTGATGAAGGAACTGGTTTCAGGGATGTTCAGGGTTTTTCAGCAAGGTGCGAAGAGTTGGAGGAGGCTCGTGGATGGGTGGGTTACTCGTTACTCCGGGATGAGAGTAGTGTGGGAGTAGCATGGGAAGCAGATGAAAGAGGGGCCCAGGATGGCCCAGGGGTCCGGTTCTTGGGTCTCCATAGAAATGATGCCATGGCTTTATACGAAATGGTACCCTCTGGTAAACTAACATAGCTATTGAAAATGGCCATTTATAGTTGATTTACCCATTAAACATGGTGATTTTCCATAGTTATGTTAGTTTACCAGAGGGTAGTCACTGGTAGTCAAGATGCTTCACATAGGCAGCACGCAGTTCGGATCAAGCCGTCAGGAAATCCGGCTTAATGGCCAGAGTGCTTGGGTGAGACCTCACCAAATTACTATCGCTAGGTTTGATCGAAAGTTCAGCTTATATAACAATTTCCTCTGGTGCCTGAAAACATCTGCTGTACTAGCCTTTCTTATATTCTTCAGTTGAAATAAAACATCATCGAAGTAACATCCTGGAAGCACTGTTCGGCACTTTTTTGGGGACCCCGAAGAGTCCAGGACTCTCAAAACACCAGGAACGGATGGGGCTGGAGATGCAACTCGAGGAGAGCAAAGCCCAAGGTGGGGAACCAGCAGGTTGTGTCAACTCACTGTTTGTTTTTTCCCTCTCATAACACAAGAATTGGCACATGTCTCCATGGTGCAAATATATATATATATCAATCATGTCACATCATGTTTAACAAAATAATATAGTGTGATCCATCATCTCTGGGAGGTTCCGTTTTATCCTTAGTTGCCGGTGAATCTTCCTCTGATCTTGACTCCTCCATTGCCTTTCTGAGTTCGAGGCTCCTCTTTGGCTGCAACCTTGAAGCAGAGTGGGATCAATGTGGCTGGTGCGAAAGGAAACGACAGCGAGAGTTCTCGGCTCAGAGCTAGCGCAGCTTCCTGGACTTTGCTGCTAGGGCTAAGGAAACATGATGGCATTGTTGGCATATCCTTCATCGATTCCAGATCTATTCATCCAGACTGCTCGATGATGTTACATTCCACGGAATCCTTGCACGGAATTGCTTTGAGGTAAGGAAAAATGGCAGGACACCTCGCTATTTGGGTTGGTAAATCCCAGGAAAATCCTGTAGATTTTCCCACAAAACCAATCCATTGAAGGGAATCTGCGGAAATGAGGTGAAGATGCAGAAAAGGATTGGTCGCGGGAAGACTTGGAAGCCAGGTCGCGGCCTGGTGATCCACAACGGGAAAACCAGTGCTTTGTGAATCACAGGTGTATGATCCAATCAATCTATATAAATTATCTATTTAACAGTGGTGTGTATATATATATAGATAGAGATGTAGATATAGATATATATCTATATATGATCTAGAAATTCCCATTGGAATGGTGTGTATTGACTAATGGGAACATTTGGGAAAATTCATGGGAGAATGTTACTGGGGACGCAATGGTTTATAACTTATAACTAATAAGATATCTAGTACATCAAGATGCAAGCAATCCCATCCACCTCATATTAAACACCTCCATTCTATGGTCTCAAGTATGTGTGAATCCCCTGCTATGGTTTGGGTGTGTTTACTGTATTTTTTTTTTAATAGGGGGATGGGAGTACATCATGAGGTATCATAACATGTCGTTTGTTTTCAAAAGATTACGGTAAATCAGGGGGTCAAATGGCGGACATACCTTCCGGTCATTTCACATCGCCAATGAAAATAGCCATTTATAGTTGATTTACCTAGGTAATGAAAACGCAAACAAAAGGTGATTTCCATAGCTATGTTAGTTTGAGAGTACCTTGCATTTTGCCAGGTGCTTGAGGCTTGAAGCCGAAAAAGAGAAACTGCAAAAGCACGTGGAGAGGCGCCGCCTCGGTCAAGCCAGGGGGAGGGGATGACTGGATCCTCCAAGGACTTGGTGGGTGGAAATTGCAAAAGGGCTGGCACATGCTGGCGCCGGCCCTTTGCAAAAACCAATCTGAGATATATAGTATAATGGCAATCCAGTCTAGCACATAGATGAGTTTCTTGATCCCAAGCAAATATGACACCCAATAACAGATAGTGAATCAGCCATTTAATTTGCTCGAGAGCTAAGCCCTTGAGAAGCTCTTAGGCCTGACTATTGAGGGATCACCTTTGGATAGGATGAATCCCATGATAGCCTTCAGGCTCTGGCAGATGTGCGAGGCATTGGATGCGAGCGCCAAGCCGGAAGAACAACAGCTGCAGGTGGCAAAGGGCCAAGGGCAGTGGCTGGTGGCTCACGGGAGTTCTGAAGCAGAATGGGCCAAATGGGTTTCCAACCCAGAAATTAGGAAAGACGGAAAGAAACTTGATCTCTTGTACTCCCGCCTTCTTATGAGACATGATTTCTTCTGATTCGACAGTGGACATGTGGTGAACCGCACCATGGCCAGGGCCGACAGGGAAGCTTGGAGGAGCTGAATTTCGAGGTAGGACCCTCGCCATCGTTGGACCCCTTATTCAAGAGAAATAGTTGGAGCTGGAGATTGCCTCAGGTTTTTTTCCAATGAGATCGGGCAATTTTAGGGCGATTCCATCTCTGATGTGGATCTTTTTTGGGTCATTGTTGTGCCATGGTGTTTCTGAAGGCGGTCGTGGAGCGTGCTGTTTCCATGAAGGCAACTGAGAGGCGTCGGCGGTTACACCAACGGAGCCAGGGTCTAGCCGTGTGATTTGCCGGGCGTGAAATGGTGAATGATGGGGTGACAAGCCTGTACCAGAAATACGCATATGCACGCACACACAGTCCACACACACACACATTATACATAGACATAATTACACACACACAGACACACACACACAGACACACACACACACACCCCCACACACACCCACACACACCCACACACACACACACATGTCATCTTCTAGAAGCATAGGTTGAGATCTGGCATTTGACGTGTTTTTGGCTTATCAGCTGGTTCAAACGGAGGGGTTTAGGTTTGGATGCCTCCACCCCAAGCCTGTGCCAAGTGCCGCAACTGTCCCGCAGCAGAGGGAGATTCGTGGTGTCTTGGTTGCACCGGTTGGGAAGCAATCGGTCGTGAATTGACTGCTGCGTGGGACAGCAGTGGTGCCAGGCGCTTGGCAGGGGACTTGGTGGTTTCTTGCTGTAGGCAGGTTCGTGCCTTACGATCAGTCACCGCTGGGCTAACCCGTGAGGTGGCTGTCTCTTCCGGTGCTGGCGACCGCCGTGCACGGAGGAGCCAAAGGCAACCAGAAGAAGAACACCGAGGAGGCAGGGAAGAGCGCACTCCACGTGAGGTTCCTGAGCCGGAATTGCCCCCGCGCGGAAGGACCCATAGCAGAGTGCCTGAACCTGAACACCCGCCGAGGCCTAGGACAAGGTCCCACGACCGTGTCGATCCCAAGGAGGAAGAAGCTTCAGTAGGTGAAGACGAAGAGGAGGAAGAAACTGAAGAAGAGGAGGAAGAGAAGAGATGGAGGCGCTCTTCAGGCGCAAGCCCTCATCACCGTCCTGTGAGGGACGAACGCCCGAGGTCACCCCCAGCCGAAGGAGACCAAGGGAGTGGACTCAAGCCACTTGGTGTGAAGTTGAGTCAAAGAGAAGGAAGCCGACACAGAGATAGGAGTCGGGATAGGAGGCGTGACAGAGACAGAGACGCGCCCAGAGGAAGCAATCGTCGAGGAGGAAGGAAGCACAAGAAACTTCATCGACTGGCCGACAACCCCTTCTTAAGGGTACACAGAGCGCCAGGTCTCTCTTTTTGGGAGCTGAGTGTGGAAAACCCCGGAAGCCTTGACGTGACCCATTTGGGTCGCTGAAATGGCCGGTGGGTTTATTTCAGGAGAGGAGTACACCACGGACGATCAGGCAGGATGGTCGGCTGTGGTGCCAAGAGCTGGAACGGTGCTGGAAGTGAATCTCCTGCGCACCTCCCGGCCAGTGTTGACCGAGGTTTGGGCGGCTTTCTTTGTAAAGGAGGTCAGAAACGAAGCAGACGGTTCCCATGTGTTAGAGTGTCACTACATTGGATGCGAGGACGAGGTCGAGGGGAGCGCATTAGCAGTGGCTGGCCAAGCCGGGCCGCTCAATGTGCATCTATGCCTCTCTACTCCTTGCATGGTGATTGGCGATATGGAGGCACTTCATACGACATCTGCCCGGTTTTGGGAGGTTGCAGACTTCAAAGCAGATTACGGGCCCAGAGACCTTTCAAAGAGGTTGGCACGCTGGCAGAAGGAGCTGTCTTCTGGAGACGCGCTCCCCAAACGCCGTGCGAGAGCCCCTGCAAAACCTCCTGGAGATGGGGTTGCTGGCGGCCGCAAGAAGGCCAAGGAGGATGCCCCTGCCCGTGGCGCAAAGAAGAAGCCTGCTGCCGCCGTACCAGAAGGTGTGAAAGAAAGGCTGGAGAAGAAGCTGAGGGGGCTACGTGGCCTGCGAGAAGAGGGTCATGGTCGAGAGAAGAGCCAGGCGGTAGAATCCGTCTCGGACGAGAGTGGGGCCGTTGGGTCGGAAGAAGACTCTTCAGGCTATGCACCCACCGAACCGCTGGGGACGGGATCCTTGTTGGAAGGGGTTGCGAAGCCAGCCCGGAGAGAGAAGGACCGATCCGGAAACCAGCGGGAAGTAGTCCCTTACGAGGGCACAAAAGGCATCACTATGAAAGGCTTGAGCGGTCAATTAGCCCGGAAGGCCCTCGCTGTCGACGACGTGCGAGCCAAGGCCAAGAAGAAGAAGAGGAAGAAGAGCACCAGCTCCAGAGCCCTGAGTCTGCTGAGGGATTTGATCCTCAACAAGACGGGAACAGAAAGGAAGCGTGCAAAAGAAAAAGACCGGTCAGGAAAGAAGAAAAAGAAAAGAAGAAAGCTGGTCGATGGAGTGATAGTGAGTTCATCGAGCAGCTCCGGAGCCGACTCAGACTCAAGAGAAAAGGAGGAGCAGGTGGACAGCTCGGAAGAGGATATGGAGGCGCCAATGAGGCGAAAGTCACGAGACAATCCTGGAAGCGTGCTGTCGATGCTGACGGAGCACGTGCGGTCCCAAATGGACCAGGATTCTGTGACAGAAGTGAGCAAGAACCCGAAGCTCACCGGAGGAGTGAAGGTAACTTCCTTCTTCAACCTCCACATCCGCCCAAGCTATGGGAGTCACCTGAAGGAGTTGCGCGAGATGTACACGCTGGCCATGACGATAGATCTCCTGAGAAAAGGAGAGCTGGGGCGAGTGGGAGACAGTCTCTCAGCTCGGTTCATGGCCTTGCACCAGTCGCTGATAGACCAATCGTGGGCGACGGCAAGGCACATGGAATTATTTCCTCTGGAGGAGTCGACGGCCGCATCCTCTGCCTTGGTTCTGGCGTCGAGGAAGCACCAGCGGTTAGTCGACAAGGTCCAGGGAAAATCGGGTTGGACTCCCTGGCAGCCGAAGGGCAAGGGGAATCCTCGCCCAGACTGGAGTCAATGGGGCGAGAGCAACCCCAAAGGGAAGAAAGGAAAAGGCAACTCGAAAAAGGACAAAGGCAAAGGAAAAGGAAGTTGGAACCAGGCCCCAGACAAGGGGGCAACCGACTGGGAGAAGAACAAGGAGAAAGCAGAAGGGGCGAAGTGAGCACCTCAGTAGGGGCGCCTCTGGCTTGTGCCGTGAGGGATGATGCCCTGAAAATGGCCGGGCCGGTGACTTGGGCTGACATTTTGGTGTTGTGCTCGTCAATCGGCCAGGCGGGATGTGCAATGGCCTGGCTCCTGGTAAATGCCCAGGGGTTGTCAGGCATACAGGGGAATTCACGTTTTGCTGAAAGTATTTTTGCCATTGACGCGTGGCACAGGGTCAGGCGTCGTCGCCACGCTCTACCAGTTTCTGAGGGAGGGTTTGTTGACCTTCGCGAAGCTATGGAGGCCGCTGCTTTGGAAGAAGTCCGTGCGGCGGCCTTTGTGCTGCGCTGGAGTGAGAGATCATGGCAGTTGCTGGCCTGTTTCGCCTGCAATTGTTTAGCTGGGTTTCAGCGGCCATTTGCACAGGGACGTTGGACGAAAGCTGAACAAAAGTTGGTTGATGCCATAGGCTTATCGACAAAACGTCTGATGAGCCATGGCCAGGTCTCCAACCATGATTTTGTGGCCCTGGAAAAAGAGCTGAAAAGCCGAAGGGTTGGTTACACGGGGGAGGAGATAGGAACATGCCATCGTTTGACAATGAAACAGGTTTTGCCATCGCTCCCCCCGGCGGAACATGGAGGATCAATTGATATTTTAAATTTTGTTTCAAAGAGCACTCAGTTTTTCTTGCGCAATCCCTTGAAGATGGTCATGAAGGATGAGGGACAAGATCTTCCAAAACTGCAAGGAAAAATACATGTTGAAGAAGGTTCAAAGATGATGCTGACCAAAGAACTGGTTTCGCGAAATGTTTGCAGATGGATCCCCTTTTCAAAAGTTTTCAGGTACCGTGGACAGCCGGTGCTCAATGGTCTCTTTGGAGTAGAGAAACCGACTCACCTGCCTTCAGGGGAACCGGTGCTGAGATTAATCATGAACTTGGTTCCTTCTAACTCTGTCCTCAAGACCTTCGAAGGGTCGGTTAGTTCTCTACCTCAAATTACGTCCTGGATGAGTACGGTAATTGAAGATGGTTCTGAACTACGGGTTTGGCAATCTGATATGACTAATGCTTTCTACCTCTTTAAGATCCCCTGCAGTTGGTCTCCACTACTTAGTTTCAATATCATGGCCTCTGGACAGGAACTGGGCTATAACGATGAAGAGGTCTACACGCTGGCATACTCAGTGTTGCCCATGGGATGGTCATCATCGGTTGCAATCATGCAGGAAGCCAGCGAGGTCATTTTGAAGATGGGGAGCTTGCCACGAGAGGAACAGCTGTCCAGGGGACGTGCTCTTCCACCTTGGATGACGGGGATCATGAGGCAAGCGGAAAGGCAAGAGAAAGCATGGTGGCACGTATATTTGGACAATTTCGCTGCAGGAGAAGTGGACTCCTGTGACGGGCCTTTCGATGGTGGTCGCCGGTTGCATAGCCTGGCGGAAAAGGCCTGGGAAGAAGCTGGTGTCGTGTCATCAAGCAAGAAAAGGAAGTCAGCGGAAGAGCTAGCTCAGGAGCTTGGTGCCTTCATTGACGGTAAGAACAAGACCATTGGAGGGTCACCGGAACGTTTGTTGAAACTGGTCCAGGCCACCGTCATAGTGCTGAAACAACCTCACTTGTCCAAGAAGCTGACCCAGGTTTTAGCAGGGCGCTGGGTACATGTTTTTTTAGTTCAGGCGACCAGCGATGTCGTTTTTGGAGCACACTTGGACCTTCACGACATCAAAGAAATTTGAAGCAGCTCTGATTTGGAAAGTCCGTCGTGAGCTGTTTTCTTGCTGCTGCAGTCTGCCCTTCTTGCATACGTTTCTGGGGGCGCCCGTTTCTCAGGTGATCACGGCCAGTGACGCATCGTCTTCGGGAGGAGCAGTAGGCTTGGCTCCGGAGTTGACCCCGGAAGGGATGGACTTTGTAGGAGCTTCGATGCAGGAGCGGCACACCATCAGTGCCAACATTCTTGTGGTGTCTCTTTTCAACGGGATAGGTGGGGCCATGCGGTGCTACGACATTTTAGGTGTCTTGCCGAAAGCGGTGATTTGCTTTGACACTCATGGCCCAGCAAACGGGGTTACTGCGAAGCGCTGGCCTAGCGCCGAGCTGCTCGGAGACGTGCGGCAGATCACGGAGGAGATGGTGGATGGCTGGTTTCGGAAAACGGTTCCCCTGGATGAAGTTCATCTTTGGGCAGGTTTCCCATGCACCGACCTGTCATCAGCAAAGGCAGGAAGGCAGGGTTTAGCTGGTGAAGCTTCAGGCCTGTTTTGGGAAGTGGTGCGAGTTCGGAAGCTGTTGCATCGACGAGCTCCCGTTCATGTTACGGTTAAGTGCGTGGCTGAAAATGTAGCCAGTATGGACAAGGGAGAATGCGAAACGATCACCAAGCACATGGAGGTCTTCCCATACTGGCTGAACAGCAGCGATGCAACACCGTTGAACAGGCCCAGGTTATGCTGGTGTTCAGAGGAGTTAGAGGGCTGCTTAGAGGGGCTCGAGTTTGCGGAGCAGAGCCATTGGACGGAAGTCCGGGCCGTAGCAGCCTACCCGGACGAGCGGCAGTGGCTCTCTGAAGGCGCCGAGTAGCCTGGAGGTCGCTGGGGGACAATCTTCCCAACGGCGATGAAAGCGATTCCGCGGAAAAGACCCCTTGAGAGGCCAGCAGGCATCAACAGGTGTGACTATGATACCATCGAAAGATGGAAGGCAGACCAGTACAGGTTTCCTCCTTATCACTACATGGAGCAGTACGTGATTTGGGTGAACAACCGCTGGCGTTTGACCAACAGTGCCGAGCGGGAGCGCCTGCTGGGTTATGGAGAAGGCCACACTAAGGTGTGCATGAGCGCTTCTGACATAAAGCGCTCAAAACAAGCTTATGAGGATGAACGGCTGTCACTCCTGGGAGATTCCTTCAGCATCTTCTCCTTCGTGGTGCCTGCGGCGGCGTTGTGCTTTCGCTTTTTGCCAAAGCTCCACTATGCCACTTTGGCCAGGCGCATGGGGATGGCACCAGGGTTTAGGTCACCTTTGAGATGGGAGGTACCAATTTCAAAAACTTTAGGGTTTTCCCGGAAGCTGCTCTTTTTCTGTCATGGATCTCAACCGGTTGCTGCTGACAAAGGTCAATCACACAGGGTCTGACATACGCATCACAACAGGGGAGATTTTGTGTCCTAAAAGTGTGCCACGTCAATCAGTAGAAGCATCTTGGTGGAAGTGGCTTCCTTCTTTCAGTGTGCAATGGAAACAGAAGGAGCACATAAATGTGCTGGAATTACGTGCAATTTTGCTGTCTGTACAGTATCAAATCTCCCACCTTGGCGCCTCGCACCTTCGTCTCTTTCATGTCTCTGACAGCTTTGTGGCCATGGCGATTGTTGCCAAAGGCAGGACAGCAAGTCGTCAGCTTGGGGTCGTGCTGAAGTTCCTCAACTCGCTGTTGCTGGGATTTGGATTGACTCTGGCCATTGGGCACGTTGAGTCGACAGAGAATCCGACTGATGGGGCGAGCCGTCAGGTGGCGTTTCTGCACCAAGACTAGCAGGGCTGAGAGAGTTAAGCAACGACAAAAGGTGAAGCTTCGTGACGCAGGTTTAAGTGAGAACACACAGCAAAGGTACTACTTGGGCCTGCGCCGCTTGGTGCCTACGCTGCTGAAGAGCTCAAGTCTTGCAGACATGGATGAGCGTGCTGCTGACTGGGTGCAGGAGCGTTGGGAGAAAGGTGACAGTCAGCACCGCGTCAGCGATGCATTGTGTGCGATGCATCATTTTGAACCTTGGGTTCGAGGCAAGCTGCCTCAGGCCTGGAAGCTCTTTGCGGTGTGGCGCAAATTGGAGTCACCAGATCGGGCTCCTCCTTTGGTTTTGGACATCATTTACGCCTGGGCTCTCTATGCCATTGATCACTTCAATTGGGACTTTGCGGCAATGATCCTTTTGGGCTTCTTTGCTCTCTTGCGGACAGGAGAATGTCTACAAGTGACAGCAAGAGATTTACTCATTGGAGAGAAATCAGCAGTGGTCAGCTGGTCGCTACAAATACAAAGAGCCTGCCATAGACATGCTGCCAAAGAGATGGTTAGTTTTGAGGATCCCATAGCCTTGGGAATTTTGCGAGAAGTATGTTACCAGAAGAAACAAGCTCACCTGGATCGGGTGCCCATTTGGACAAAGTCAGCCCAGGCTTTCAGGAATGATTTTGCTCACCACTGTCGAAGGTTTGATCTCCTCCGACACAAGTTTAGACCTTATTCACTCAGACGTGGAGGAGCAACATTTTTGTTTCAAACCACAGGAAGTATGGAGACTGCGTTACTCAAGGGACGCTGGCAATCAAGCCGTGTGGCCCGTATATACCTGGCTGACGGTTTGTCGTGCCTGCCACACCTGACTTTTTCCAGCAAAGCGACAGAAATGTTAAAGCAATGGGGTCCTTTCAACCAGCTCTGACGAGCTTGTCGAGAGTTGGGGTCGTGGAGAATGAGAGGACCAATGACTTTTCTTTTTGCGTTTTACTCCTACCATGGAGGTTCTGAAAAAAATTTTCAACAAACTCCTACCATGGAGAAAGCGCTCTCCTACCATGGAGATGAGATGGAACCAGGGACCAGGAAGGTCAATATGTTTCTTGGCAGCTGTGGCAAGGAAATATCCGCCACAGTTGAAAAACCAACTTGCTACGCGTCAAAAGGCCTGCATTGAAACCTATGTCATCTTCTAGAAGCATAGGTTGAGATCTGGCATTTGACGTGTTTTTGGCTTATCAGCTGGTTCAAACGGACCCAAACCCTCCCTCACCAGAATGAGAGGACCAATGACTTTTCTTTTTGCGTTTTACTCCTACCATGGAGGTTCTGAAAAATTTTTCAACAAACTCCTACCATGGAGAAAGCGCTCTCCTACCATGGAGATGAGATGGAACCAGGGACCAGGAAGGTCAATATGTTTCTTGGCAGCTGTGGCAAGGAAATATCCGCCACAGTTGAAAAACCAACTTGCTACGCGTCAAAAGGCTGCCTGCATTGAAACCTATATATTATGTGTATGTAGTCACACACACACATATGTATGTATGATCCGGTATGCACACACACATAAATGAATAAATAAATGCATACACACATACGTACATACATAATACATAAACAAGTAGATAAATAAACAAATAAATGAAGGAATGAAAAATAAATGATCAATAAATAAATACGGATAGATAGACGGATGGATAGATAGATAGATAGATGGATAGATAGATAGATAGATAGATATATATACATATATGCCTGGACACATATTATTTGATAGACACTTGCGCACACACACACACATTAACACAGGAGTGGTTTTTGTGGTATGAACATCGATTTTTCATGAACTTTCAGCACAGGCAGCAGCTGGCCCGTGCGGAAGCAGAGAAAGCGGAGTTGCAAGAGTTCCCCGACGACACGGAAACGAAGTTTTCGTTCGCAAAGCTCCGGGATCAAGTGCCGGTTCACCCCAAAACACACCTTTGATGGTTGGTATCACTTATTAGTTGGATCCCAAATCAGCTATGTATATATATATATATGAAGGTATGTGTATAGAGATATATAGTTAGTTTTTGCATATATATATATTTATATGTGTGTATATGTACTGTATATACGTATGTTGTACATACACATGTTTCAGGAGTTGGCTGATATCAGAAAATCATTGTGGTTCTTGGATGGTAGTTGGTGATGGTATTCATCTATGGTTTCGGGGGTTGGAATCATCATCATAGTAACACGCATATCCATACCAATCACAACACAACAATACTTGTAATAGCACTAGCAACGCAATAACAATAACAACAATTACAACAATTAATTAACACAATGAACACACAACACCACTTACAAAATGATCACAGCAGCAATGCTGATAATAACCTTGATAATGACGCTTACCAATACCTACCGATGATAGCGGATGCCCAGGTTGGCAGAAGCCTTGACAGCGCAAGTCCAAGCACTCCAGGCCAGAGCACGGTATTTCTTCGAAATCCATCAACAGTGAATCGATTGATTGAATGAATGCATAAACACTCAAACAAACAAACAAACAGACGGACAGAGACAGACAGACACAGACAGAGACAGACAGAGACAGACAGAGACAGACAGAGACAGACAGAGACAGACAGAGACAGACACAGAGACAGACAGAAAGACAGGCAGACAGACAAACAAACAAACAAGTCCACAAGTACACAAACACACAACCACACAACCACGCAAACACACAATCACACAAACAAACAGACAAGCAAACAGACAAACAAACAACCAAACAAACAAACCAACAAACCTACAAACCAACAAACCAACCAACAAACAAACAAAGCAACCAAAGCAAAACAAACAAAACAAAACAAACAAGACAAAACAAAAAACACACAAACAAACGACACACAACATAACAAAACAAAACAACACAACACGAAACAAACAAACCAAACAAACAACACATAACAAAACAGAACAAAACAAAACAAACAAAATAAACAAACAAAGCAAAACAAACAAAACAACCAACCAACCAACCAACCAACCAAACAAACAAACAAACAAACAAAACAAAGAAACAAAAACAAAACACACAAACAAACAAAACAAAGAAACAAAAACAAAAAAACAAACAAACAAACAAACGAACGAACAAACAAACAAACAAACAAACAACAAACAAACAAACAGACAGACAAACAAACAAACCAACCAACCAACAAACCAACCAACCAACAAACAAACAAACAATCAAACAAACAAGCAAGCAAACAAACAAACAAACACACAAACACACAAACACATGTATATAGGTAGATGGATACACAAATAGATAAGATAGATAAATAGATGGATGGATGGATGGATTGGATGGATGGATGGATGGGTGGATAGGTAGGTAGGTAGATAGATGGATGGATAGGTAGGTAGGTAGGTAGGTAGATAGATAGGGATAGACATATGGATAGAGATAGAGATATAGATAGAGATGCAGATAGAGATATAGATAGAGTTTTAGATAGAGAGATAGAGAGATAGAGAGAGAGATAGATAGATTAGATAGATAAGATAAGTAAGATAGATAGATAGATAGATAGATTAGATTAGTTTAGATTAGATAGATAGGTAGATAGATAGATAGACAGACAGATAGATAGATTCAGTTTAAGTGACACCAAGAGAATATAGAAGACTCTCAATGTTGCTTGTAATGATTGCATCGATATGGTAGAGAATCAGTTTTTGAACCCCTTTGAGACCCCAATCAATTCTGGTTCATGTCTACCGAAGACATGTCCAGGGGCGCAGGACTCGAAGACTTATGACATCTTATGACCTTTAGTTTTCTGCTGTTGGAAACGGAAATTGCCCTGGATGACGGTGGTGTCCAACGATGTCCTCGTCCTTGCAGGAACGGCTGAGATCGGAGGACCAGGACGCTAAACTCTGCAAACCGGCACTGGAACGGCCACACGAAACTGCCAAAAAAGGTAGAGGATCCTAGGGATCCTGACTTTTCTAATGGATGCCACCTATGGAACATCCAACCGTAGAGCTACTTTGGTGCCAGGGTGATCCGTGCACTTTTCAGGAGGTCAGCATTGGAGCCGTCGCCAGGCGGACTGTTTGATGAGGATGGTCTGGAAACTTGGAAAATGGGCAGTGTTCCATGGACTTCCTCGTTCCGAGCAGCTTTTCAGCCATGGTATCCTATGTTGTGACCCATTCATGGTGAGTCTCTTTAAAACAATCATCTTAAAACAAGAAGTGATGGGGGCACTATCCACCAATTGTCACCATAGAATCACTTGCTGAGCCCCTTCCTCACCTGGTGCCAGGTGTGAGGATCTGACCAGACAAAAGGCAGAATTGGAGAAGGACTCCGGTGCGGCTGGGGCGGTGCTAAGGTAGGCCACGATGATGGATGAAACCCACAGATTGTGGCCATCTCTGGTGTTCAATCCATTGTTTGGCACATCCCACTGATGTAGTGGCAACCCCTGGTCCAGGAGCTAGGTGAGCTGGCCACAGCCTATGCTAAGCTGCAGGCCCTGTTAGAGCAGCCTAGGTCGCCTAGGTCTATACAGGTACGTGCAATGAGAGAACAGGTATATCCTAAGAATAGGAAACCCAACCCGCTTTTGAAAAGGTGAGGTAGACACTTTTTTTGTCTTTTCACTGGTCCCCAACCCAATGAGACCTGGACAATTGGGCCCGAAACTGCCCACTGCAAGGGCAACCTGAACGCGGAGAAGCGGTTGAGACTTGAGGCTGAGGACTGAGCCGGTTCCGATGGCATTGGCTCAATGGGCGGTTCCGCTCAGCGGCAGGAGGCACTGCAGTTGGAGCGCAAAGCTCTTGAGGAGGCCAAAGTGCAGGGGCTTGATTAACCCCTCAATAGCTCGTTTCTGGGCCACACCCACTTTGGGATCAAAAGACAGCATGTGTACTGTATGTACACCTGCAATGATGTGCCTGTGTTACCTTGTGTTTGGACCTGTAGTTGTAGCATGTTGTAGCTATTCCAACTGGTCTAAGAGTCGTAGAGGGATGCAGCTACTCCACTTGCAGGCTCAGGCGCTAGAAGACAGGCGCTGGGCTTTGGGTTCCGAGGATTTCATCTGACACTGCTCTGATGAGATTTTCCAAGCAGATGTGGGCCGCAAGCACCAAACCATGGCAGGGGAGTCCAGAGTGAGCCAAAAAAGGCAGGGTTTGTGGCTTGGATGATCGGATCGGTTTTGTGACCCGCAAGTCCATGATAACCTATGGGATCCTATGGGTATATGTCACCAGATTTGAGCGAATAACATGGGAATGCCATGGCCCTGCAAGTAACTGTCTATCTTGAAAGGCACCGCCAGTGTTGCACTGTGTTGATTCTAGGAAGGCTGGTGGGACGCTATGACTTTCACCTTTCAAAAAAACCGGGAAGGTCGCCGAGCGAGAAGCCGAGCCCGGGTTCTCAGCAAGTCGCTGCAGATGCAACACGGTTGAGGGGCCTGAGAAGGGCCAAACGCTAGGGCCTTTCCACGAGTCTTCGACCCTGACAATCTAAGATCGTCTTTAGGCCACTGTAGTTGGGCCCTATCCCCACGAAGTATATATATATATATACTTTCGGATCATTTTTCGTTGCCAAAGCAATCCCATTTTTAAAATGGGGTTGAAATTTTGCCACGTCCCCGTAGCCGAAGCTTCGTTCTGGCCGAAGCTTCGTGGAGGCCAGAGAGCAACCTTGAGGCACTGCGACAGGAGCGATTTGGGTTGGCAGTTTTACCAACAAAGCCATGAACCTAGAGGAGTTTTGCAATTATGTTCCCCAGGAAAATCAGGAAAATCAGTGGATATCAGTGGATTTAAACCAAAAAAGATCGGGATTACAGTAAAGCCAGCCAATATTGGAGAAACAACTTGCAAGCATAGGCGATAGAATCAGCATGAATCAGCAAACATGTGCATGTGACATGCAATTAAAGCGCTAAGAATTTTCTGTGCCACGCGTCAATCATCCGCAGCATCACAAGGTTCCTTTCAAGTTTCTGCGGAAATCAACCATCAGACCATCAAACACAAATCCATATTTTGGAGGGCTTCCTTACATTTTTCCGTTGAACAAATTCCAGATTGTGGGCCCCTTTTGCGCAACAAACTGGCATTCGTGTAGAGGGATGACCGGTGGAATCAATCCACGCCAGTGTGCCAAAGTTTGATATTTCCCTTCCTCCCTGTGGCATCACGTGGCTTGAACGACCCCTGTGTGATGGTGATGGTTGCCTTGATTCGACACGAACCAACCCAAGCTCCAATCATCCCTGCTGCCCAGTGGGTCAGATGCCCAGCCTGTCGTCTTTCATTTTTGAACGCCTTTGGCCCCATGGTTGGACGCCAGCAATCACTCTCTGGCCCTGCGGTGATTTGGGGTTCATCCCCTACCCGAGATTCGGTGGGAAAACCTGCACCTTGAGATGATCATCATCATCCCCGGCATCGCTGCAGTGTTGGTCCTCCTGTTGTGCTGCCGCTGTCACGTCAGGGGTCTCACCCCTAGGCGAGCGAGGTATTTGTTGGAGGCTGCTGCTCAGGTAGCGACAGCCCGACGCCTGCGGATCTTAGGCTGCTGCGCGGCGGGGAAGTCCCAGCTCAGGGGCAGCTTGGGAAAGATGTTGCAGCTGCCCCTGGTGGAACTGGATACCATTTACTGGATGCTTGGCGGTCTTTATTTGTGTCAATGGTATTTACTGTGTATAGATAAATAAATGACTAAATAAATGAATAAATACATATAAATACATAAATAAATATAGATGAATATAGATAAATAAAAAACAAATAAATAAACAAATACAAACCTAAATAAATAAATAGATCGGTATACATGCATACATGCATGCATGCATGCATGCATACAAACATACAAATAAGCAAGCAAGCAAACAAACAAACATACAGACAGACAGACATACATATTTCAATATATATATATATATCTATTGTTCATTAATTATAGATTTTGGCCGGTTGAAAGTTGGTGAAGCTTGGCTCGTGGCACCCCCAGGAAGCCCGGTTGGGTCATGCGGGACCATGAGGACACGCTGGGCATTTTGGCTGAGAGCCTGGGGGATGCATGGATCTTGGATGGAAACTTCATGAGTAAACCAAGGTGGGGTTAAAATAAAGCACCGGATCTGGACATCTGACCTTGGGGACTGCATGCAACACGTCAAAACGATGCTTTCTATGTGTCCTTATCAACTATATTCAAATATCTTTCTTGTTTTCTTGCTAGGCTGTGACAGATATTTTACAGGATGGACAGTAGACAGTTTTTTTTTCCCGGAATTTTCACTCGGGTATGGTACAGGTCAAGCTAGAATAGCATGCCAAAAAAGTGGGCAGCTGAACCACCAAAACAGCATACATATTCTGTTAATGTTTGGCCAAAGTACACATGTTTGGACCAATCCCACCAGTCACCAGCCAGGGACCTGGAACGCTACGGGCTGAACCGGCAGATCTGGGACAACACGCAGTGCCTCATTTGGTTGGACTACCCCTTCTGGACCATCTATCTCCGGGCCTGGCGTCGTACCCTGTGGAGGACAGGGAGAACAAGAGGAGGAGATGGAAGGAACTTTGAAATAGGGCATTTCAGACATCTGACACATTCTGAAACTAAGGGTCAAGACTCAAGTGGATTGTTTCATAGAGGATCAGTCTTTGCTCCCTGGCCTTCTCGGCAGGATCGGAACGGGTGAGCCCTGTTGCAATGGCAATCGCGAGACCTGGTCGTTGCTGCTGTTCGACTTCCGCAACAGCATCCCATACTTCGTGTGGACAGGGCATGGCAAATTTCCTGAGAGATTGCAAGAGCTGGAACGAATTTTTGAAGCTGAGCTGGGCGAAAGGTTGAAGTGGTTGGGTTGATCGTCGGATTGGGATGTAATCGTTGAGTTTCTACAGGGGCCAAGAGGTGTGTTCTTTGGATCAGCAACTGCTAAGCATTGATAAGCATTGAAGTTTATGCCATCTGATTGGAGGAAGAAGGAATGCGGTGACGTCATGTGAAAAGGACCAGCTGAGATTGCCCTTCAGTTGTCCTGTTTGACTAAGGAAGAGAGGATTCATTTCGTACACCTGCAGTCCCAGAGGGAGACCGACTACTTCTTGAATTCGATTGCCAAGATTGCCAGTTGAAGCAGCTACTGTGGCGAATGCTGAGAGCCGGTGTCCACTGTGTCCACCAGAGCATTGATGGTGCACGGCTGGGCAGCGAAGCACTGCAGTAGTTCTTGCAAAACAACGCAGATCACAGAAGTCGTGGATGCTGAACGCTCAACTTGGGACCTATTTTGCAAAATCAAGTTTGGCTCCGCTATTGGCAGTGGGACCTTTCATGATTTGAAAAGTGATCCCGCCAGTTTGGTGTGACTAGTCCTTGCGATACCGCTTCTGTTGGTAGGTTCTTTTTTGCCAAAATGCGGAGACCTTTTCAAACAAAGAACTACCAGGCGGGTGTTCCTCCCCATGGCGTTCACCCTAGACTCTGTTTGAGATGATTCCCCGGCCCGGGTGAGGTTTCAATGCAGTAAAATTCAAAATTTGGAACCACATTCCATCCAATGGGTTTCAAACATTCAAAGACATTCAAAGACCATACCTAACCCAATCAACCACAGTTCCCCAAGTAAAGTTCCATAGGGCCAAAGTGGCGTTCCCATCCCCCATTTTGCGATATTTTGCTGGGACAGTCATCCCTGGCAGCTGGGACAGTCCTGGCAGCCCCTGGCTCGAAACTGAGCCGCTAGGAGCTTGCTGCTTTGGCGGCAGAGCGTGACCAGCTGAGATCCAAGGTTTTGTCCCGAGTCCCGAAGGCTGCGGACAGGGAGATACGAACACAGAACTCATGGGTGTTAAATTCAATGGATTGGTTTAAGGGAAAATTTACAGGAAACCCCTATATTTGATGGTAAAAACCATGGTTTCCTGTAAATTTTCCCTTAAACCAATCCATTGATAAATCTGTTGGAAATCTCAGGATTTCCGGTCTCCATGGACCCTCCAAATTCACCAAGGATGTGGTCAAACTGGGGGCCACTGTTGAACCCACATGGCTTTGATTCGGCTTTGATCAAAGTGAGAAAGACGGAGAGGTGAAAGTCTACAGGGTGCCTGTCCAATTATCGACATGTCTAGCTGCACCTCTCCGGTGCTAGGCTGTGGAAACCCAGCTGCAGCATGCTGAGGCCACCTACATGTTTATCCGGTGGAGGGAGCGGCTTCAGAGCTATGGTTGTATCATGTTGTATCCCTAGTGGTGTTCCCTGTTACATTGGAAGCCAGGGAGCTACTCAGTTTACCAAGCACCTCACCAGGCAGCTGTGGAGGAACAAATGCAGCGGGTGACGCAAGCAGAGGCTGTGGTCACCTTTTTAAGCCTTTACGGCAACACCTTTAAATGGTTCCTAAATGGCCAACCCAAGCCACCAAGGGTTTGTCCAGAAACTAATGGGGTATAATTTATAATTATACCCAGAAAAACAGCTATTGGAGGGAAAACACCTCATTTCATGGCACTTTTCCTTGATATATCTTGATATCATTTTGGAAACGATGGGATTTTTGGGTTCCCCATCTCTGGACCAACCCCTTGGGATCACTGTCAGGCTGTGGCTGAAGAGCAGAAGCAGCTGCGCTTTCAGGCGGAGGCGAAGAGGGGTTGGTTGAGGACTGGATGTGCCGAGAAGTTTCACTTGGAACCCGCCCAAAATGTATCAACAGACAGGTTTGAAAGCCAGCAATTTCACTTGGACCCCTCTCAAAAATGTATAAAACTGTATGCGAGAAGGGGGTTGGAAGAGAATTTTCTGAAATGAACTGCTGGCATTCGGGGGTGTAGACTTTAGGGATAACTGGCTGACGGTGCTTTCAGAATCGATTTGCAACCCCTTCTTGAGTATAGCTTGAATGCGGTGGGAATATGCCCTACTGTCTAGAAGCTTAGCTGCATACCAGCCACTTTACATGTCATGTAATCCTTAAAAAAGGTGGGCATTCAATTTCCATCAGTTTTCCATTCAGTTTCCATCACTTTCACACCCCTAATCCGTGTATAAGAATAGGGTATCCCACCCCCTTGATATGAAACATCACCATTCCATGGTCCCAAATATGTGTTTTTATACCCTACTAAACCATGGTTTCTGGGGTGTGTTCAATATGAACAGCGCATTGGATTAAGCATCGATGATCATCATTGGTTTAGTAGATGATTTTCACAAGAAAAACCTGAGGATCTATGATGATCAAGGACTATTCGGCATTTCATTATCCGCATTTTTGATGGCTAAATCACCATTTTGGTTGGTTAAATCCCATGACAATCCTATGAAAGTCCCATGGTTTCATCTTTTCATCATCAGTTTCCCAAGAAATCCTGGGCAAAAACATCGAGAAAAACTAGACCGAGGCTGAGTTGGAAGAACAGGCTCTGCTGAAACGAAGACTGGAGGCAGGGCTGACAAAGCTGTTTGGAGCTGGGCTTTGGATGGGGTTTGGCCCCAGTTTTTACAACAGATTCCTGGGAAAAAAGAATCTGAGAACGGACCATTTTCAAATGGCAACTTTTAGAGGATGACTTCTGAATCCTCCTGATCAGCCCCGTCAAAACCATCGTCCTTCGGCATGCATTCTCACTTCTCAACCAGGCCTCCTTGAAGGAGGAGACTCACCTGCGGTCCAAAGTCGAGGTCACTCGGAAAAGTCCATCTTGATTGACACCACCAAGGTTGCATTCCATACAGCTAGCACCTACTGTTGTTGCTGGGTCAATATCAAGAGGAAGACGCGCAGGAATACCATGATTTTCCCATCCAATTGTACTAGCGGCCTTTAGTTATACTACTGCCATGAAATCTTGCGGGTGTTCTTGCATAAAACAAACTAAAGATCCCTAAGGCCAATTCTAGGAATAATGAAGAAACATACCTGCATCCGAGCACCATCACAGCGAAAATCGGCCGGACATCCCATAGTTCATGGGAAAAACCCGTGGTTTCCTGCAGATTTCCCAACTTTTTCCCTTAAATTCCAACCAGGCCCAGCTGGCAGAGCAGATACAGTTGAGGTCCCAAGCTGAGGCCACCCATTTGGATGGGGAGAGAGCAGATAGCCATGGAGACACCCTAAGTGATTCATGGCAATCTTCATGGGGAATATGATGATCAAGCAGACGTGTTTCGTTTTTCGGCCGATGTTGGTCTTTTTATTGCTGATTCTTCAAAGTTCATTTGTCTACGGGCCAACCGTCAAACAAACTCTGGCTCACCCCAAAATTGGGTGGTGCAGCATGGTGCAGCATGGTCATGGTGCAAGACATGCACAAAATCATCTGCTAATCTCTGTATCGCTCAGTCATAAAACAGGCATACTTAGACGCGGAACGTCTGGCTAGAGAGGAGGCCGGCAGTTGGGCAAATGATGATGGAAAAAGGTAAGGATTCAGTAGGATTTTATGATGATTTCATTGGATTTTATGGGATTTTAAGGGGCACAGTATAACACATGTTATGGGTGTGTTTGAGCACTATGAGTAAACCGACTGTACAGTTTTGCCCAGTCAATCCAGAAACATAAGAGCGGGGTCTCCATAGCCTCTCATGCGTTCCAGCATCCGAGCACCACACCATTTTGAAGCCACCTACAATCTCATCATATCCAAATACCACCGAGGTTAGACTTCATGCTTTTCAAATTATTCCAATCAGTTTCCCCGAATGATCTTTTTTCAACACCACCAAAAAGCAATCTTCCAGGGGTGAAGATTTTGGCTCAAAAGAGTGAAAGAATTCCCTTTTCTAACAGTGGGAGATGTAAGATCCTTCATGGCATTTCGTTGTGGAAATAGGTCCTGCGCCAGAGCATGGAGACGAGCAGGTGGCGCTGGGCATTTGGGTGAGGGGATAGCGAGTTACAGGCGGGGGTCCAACTGGAAGGACTCTCAAATATTCTCAATACATTTTGGACCTTTGGCTAAGGAGGTTGGAATTTCAGAACTTACCCCGGTCGCCCAAAAAAGGGGCTGAGTGGAGCGCCTGGTTTCTGAACCTCTCCATTTTGGGGGATTTTGATGAATTTCGAGCACACCGTGTCTGGGGCACACCGTCTTAGTTGTGTGCATGTACATATGTAATTATATATATAGACATACAATCATATACATATTGTATACACGCATATATAAATATTGATTTATGTCTATGTATTAAAGCTACCTGTATATAAAATGAAACACTATACAACTTACAAACAGAGACACACACACACACACACATGCGTAGGATATACCTCACACATACACACGCACACATTATATATATACACATATTATGTTGATGATGCTACACTGTAAAGAAATGAATAAATGCATAAATGGATGAATAAAAACTAATTGAATGAATTGAATGAATAAGTAAATAAATGTGTAAATAAACAAGTAAATATGAATGCATGAGTGAGTGAGTGAATGAATGAGTGAATGAATGAACGAACGAACGAACACATACACACTCACGCACACAAACACACACACACATATATATATTATATACATATGTATGTACACATAGATATCATAAATATGTATTTGCATCTACTTATCTACCTACATCAGTCAGTGAACACTGATGTTGCCTCAGGGCTTCCATAACTACGCAAGAGGAGATATCGCCGGATGCAATGGGAGGTGATGGGCAGAGTCGATGACTTTTTTCCCACATTCTCGAAGTGGTGCGAGATAATATTACAAAATTGTTTCCTGTAAAAATTATCCCTTGATTAAAACAATGGATAATCATGTTTGCTGGGCATTCCATTGGGTTGATGTAGTTGATGTATGGGCATATTTATAGGAGAGCGTGATCTGTGGTTGTTACGAAGCAAATGCAGAGAAACCGTGTTTTTTTCTTGTCAGTGTGGTAGGGCAAATTCAATTCTTCGAGACAACCTGGCCAGAAAAAAATGTGAAACTCTTCGTGATCCTCACACAGTAATATAGGGTGAGTCAAAAGCCTCATAGCGTGTAGTCAAAATAGGTTCTGGATGTTCATGTTCCAGTCATATTGTGCCCAGTTTGGATTTTTTTAACCGATCTTTTTGGAGTTTCGGAACTTTTCCAGCTTCTGTGGCTCCAGTTGCTTAGGGTCTCTTTTCGGGCCACCTTTGGACGTTTTTTGCGGTGGCCGCGGCGCAGAGATCCGATGATACCCAACGGCTTGACCTGCAAGAGCCTGGGGCCAATGAAAACGGCGGAATTTACACCGAGGATATGGCCAATGTATGCCATTTTGATAGGGAATGTATTATATATATATACATATGTGTGTACACATATGTGAGGATCATCCAATTTGCGAGCCATTTTTGGACAAAGCCAATTTTGAAGATAAAGATTCGAAGCCAGAACCTGCCAACATCCATCATTTCATGATAAAATCGAGTCAAACATGGAAGAAATCAAGCATCTTACTCCTGGATGAGATGATCTTAAGTCCCCATCACCCTCCGGTAATCAAACGTGGCAATGATCACTCCAAAGGTATGGAGGTTTATGGCTGGGATCATCGACCTTTCCATTTTCCATGGATTTTCCACGTCGGAGACTTAACCAGCGGTTGATCCTCCAGCAGAGGAACACCTTCTTCGACATCCCGGAGGATGACGCCGATCTGCCGGAGGGTCCTGCGACCTGTCCCCCGGCCAGCGATGGATGGTGGCCCTCCTCCAGCTCACGACCCAGCTCTGTACCTTGAACGTCCCAGTGAAAGTTCAATGGTGAAGGGAAAAACGTCAGCTGAAAACTAAGGCGCAAGCCTAAAAAAAACATGAACTATTCGGGTTTGGAAGATGATTCTTCATTTGGGTTGCCGTCTTCTGCTTCCATATGTGTTTTCCTGGGCGTTACTGGGTTCGCCCAGTAGTTGTGCCATAAATTTAAATGGAGAGATTTATAGTATTCCGATGCATTCCGCATTTTTTGGCGGGACCAAAGCCATAGCCATGATAGATGAAACTGAAATGTGGCCAATGCCTAAACATAGCAAGTTCCAGTAGCAATAGAGTCTTTGCAACACATAGGGAAATCATCACGCGAAATCAAAATTCAAAGGAGTCCATGGGTAATTCACCATGTGCCCGAAACCAAATAAAGATGTTTTGCACCCCAGAGGGGACGTACATTCCCAGGTACAGTAAGGATCGATCTGATTTGTTCATTTTTGAGTTTGATGTGGCAGTCCTAGACTCATAAACACCTGGCGGATCAAAAGGGGGATGCCCCCGAAATCCCGAAACTGTAATCAGCCTCTCAGGATGGACCCAGTTGGCCCTCAAGCCCCGCCCTCTTTGATCTTCCGACCCTCAACGAGACAGATTCGACGGTGCCAGAGATGGGGTCGGGGGTTCAGGCTCTTGCCCTGGTTCAGTTGGGAGGGTCTTAGCAAATTGTTGATGGTTGGCACCAGTGGTGTGCAAGACCCACTTCACAAATGGGATGCCCCCCCCACCGTTCACCAACTGATTCACCGGATTTTACGAAATTGTTTGATATCTTCTCCATGAAACACGATGAAAATCGGCATGAAGTGGCCACGAAACTGGGGTCGCACGCCCCTTGCAGGTGTTGCCTTCACCTCCAGTGCTAAATACGCCAGACCCGTGGATGGATAGCTTCGTGCATCGCCCTGAGCCATTTGGGCCATTTGGGGAGCTGCGCGCCACCCTGGCAGCCACACCTTCACCGGCGTTGCAGATGCTGGGCGTGGCTTCTGGGGGAGTTCGGGTGTTGGGTTTTCGGGGGATGGGCAACCACGAACTTGATGTGCGTCTTGGGGTGCTGAAACGGGATGACATTGTTGGTCACCAACAGTTGGTGCAAGATGCGGGAGGATTGCCGAAAAGGCCTCAGTGAAGGGCCACGTGACGCATTATTTCATTATTTCGGAACGAAATCTAAGCTGCAGAGCTCTCAGGACGCCGGATTGGTTCGAGCGCGTAAGTTCCATGAAGCCCCAGCAAGCCCAGCCCTTCGATGTGCTGGGGAAGGCCACTACTGCCTCCCCCAGCGATGGGCGTAGTTCCAGTGCCAAATCTCCTGGGGAAACCAGCACTATCGCCCAGCGCACGCCTGATCCTTTCGAGGAGTACCGGAGGAGGTTTGGTAAAGAACCCCCTGTAGATTTCATGTACAAAATGAGGACGCCCAGCGGCTTCAAACACAGTGCATTTTATACAGGTCCCTGGTAGCATCATTTGCAGGGTAAGAGATACATCATTTATACAGGTTCAAAGTATTTTCCTGTACAAAATAATGACTTTTCCCAGCTAGGGTAAGAGATACTTCCCTACAAAATGAGGACCCCATAAGAAGGCAATTTTAAGGTACCACTCTACAAAATGAGAGCCTTTCCAGTAAGGTCAACATCACGGATCCAAAGGGTTGATGTGCTTAAAATGAGAGCCCTCAGCGGTCGCAAAATATACATCCTACTGTTTGGTGGTATATGGATGGTTCTTTGTTCATGCGAGAGGGCAGGGGCCTTCATTTTGTAGAGCGGTTTTGGTGAAATTCCCCTCTTTGCTGGGTCCCCTGGAGGCTCACATTTTGTAGGCAGCCTGGGTTATAGCTGGGGGCATAGGATTTCATTTTGTAGATAGGAATACCCCAGCGGCTTCATTTTAAGCCCACAAAATGGTGGCCACTGGGGGACAGGGGGTAATCTACAGGGGGATTGGTAAAGTGTGTTTGTTTGATGTTGTTTGGCTTCCTAGAGCCTTGAATTTCAGATTTTAGGCATCATTTATTGTTGACAGGCAGGCAGGAAGATAGGCCCTGCGTGCCACAAATTGTACAGTCCAATAGGTTTATGGCCTCTTCGGACTGTATGATTGTTTGCGTACCCTTGCCCACGACATGCCAAACAGATGGCCTGCCGCTATCACTCCTATGTTGTCCATTGCCAGCGATATCCACCACTTCCAATGGCAGTTCGAACTTCCACATGCCCATTTTCAAGTGCTCACGATGACCCTCACATTTCACCATTATGGTACATGGACGTTTCTCAAAATTTAGAGTCCCCATCATACTTTCCTCCAATGAACAGGCCTTTCCCATTCTTTCCCCATTTTTTTTTTTTCTACATTTTGGATCTCCCAGTCCGCTGTAGCTGTCCGCAGCTCCGCAGCTCCGCGGCAGGATGCCCCCAGCCCCTACGGTCGTTCGCCCACCTCGCGCTTCGACCAGCTGCTGGCGGCGGAGGTGGGAAAGTCCGACGCTTCGGAGCGGTCACCGGTGCAGGCGCAGGGCTTGTGGTTGTGGCTTTTGGAATGGTGTGCAATGATTCAATGATTCTTAACTGTTTTGATTTATATACATACGTGCATATATATATACATATATAAACATACACACATATAAATATATAAATATACACATATATACATATATACATACATGCATATATAAACATGCATATACAATCATATACAATCATATGCAACCATATACAATCACATACAATCATATACAATCACATACAATCATATACAATCATATACAATCATATGCAATCATATACAATCACATACAATCATATACAATCACATACAATCATATACAATCATATACAATCATATGCAATCATATACAATCATATGCAATCATATGCAATCATATGCAATCATATACAATCATTTACAATCATATACAATCATATGCAATCATATGCAATCATATACAATCATATACAATCATATACAATCATATACAATCATATGCAATCATTTACAATCATATGCAATCATATGCAATCATATGCAATCATATACAATCATATACAATCATATACAATCATATGCAATCATATGCAATCATATGCAATCATATGCAATCATATACAATCATATGCAATCATATGCAATCATATGCAATCATATGCAATCACATGCAATCACATGCATACATACATGCATGCATATATATATATATATATATGTATATTAATGTATATTAATGTATATTAATGTATATTATACATATTCATTTACCACTTTTCAAGATATATTGATTGTTTCTAATTTGATGAGCCGTTTATTAACATGTCAAATTCTTTTTGCTGGTTTATGATGGCTTGTGATTGTCTATATATAAATGCGACATGATGTCTCACGATACCACCATCAACCCCGAATCAACCGCCACCGGTGTGTGCTTTGGTGTCCCCTTCAGGGCTCGGAGGTTTCGGGCGACTCCTTTGGGCTTCAATCCTCCTGGAACCGACCTCTGATGAAACCCCCAGTGCTTCTGGCCACCGCGCCGGGTGCCGCGACCCCGAAAGCCGGAGCCCCTGGAGCCCTTGGCGTGCCTGGCGCGCCTGGGGCGGTTGGGCCCACTGTGATGCCACCCATGGCGCCGCTGGGGTCACTGCCAGGGTCGCTGCTGCCGATGGCACCCTTGGGGCTACCGATGGTGCCACCCATGTCGCTTGGCATGGCCCAATGGCTTGGCTGGGAGGATTATTGACATGTTACGGGCCACACATTCACATCACTCAGGGGCTTGGTGCCGCCCTATCCGCTGGTGCCAGATGGAGGTGCCGGGCCGGGCATGCTGACATGAGCAACGCTAGTTGAAGAAGGTACCTTGAAAATCCCTGAGCTGAAGAGTTGTGTTCAACATGCAAGGTAGGACTTTGATGTTTCATGACCATGTCAGGGTCTAAATAGAAGCTAGAGTAGCAGCTAGCAGCTGCCCCAGCAATCCTCATCAGCTGTCATGCCCTAACATGGCAGCAAGCGAGTTTCAAAACACCGCGAGGCTTTGGTTTGTGGCCGCATGGACAGAGTTGCATGGATGTCATGCATCAGAAGGCCCACACAGATCCGAATTGTTTGAACACTAAGCGTTTTAGCAGAAGGCCTAGATTCAGCACTATCCTTCGCTCCAGCCGAATGTTGTCACTTGCTAGGAAATACTCTGAAACGTCTTGATACTACTCGGAAGCACTTGAGAAAGAGCACTTCCTTGAATTTTTGGGTGATCAAGTGGTGAAAGCTCAAGAGGTCTAGGAATTGAAAGAGGATAAAGTTCGCAAATCTGAATCTTAGAGACTTATATAACATCAATGACTCTTCAGAATGGGTCCTTAAAAATCAATGAGTGGTGCTCCCTTTTGACCCTTCCCTCCTTGGGATGATGGTGGCTGTTTATTTTGAGCGGCTTGACCACCGAATTTCCATCGGACAGTTGCTTGATTTTCATCCCATGATTTGGGATACAACGAAAAAAGTGGGAAACCGCGCACGGTGATGGTTACCACTCATTGATGATGTTGGGGATGATTTGTTCTTGGGACCATGGTTTACCACCAGTGTTTCTTTACAGTGCTGCAGCCCGGTGCGGGTGATCTCAGGAGCCGCTGCCTCGCAAGAAGGGCGCTGGTGGCGCTGGTGGCGCTGGTGGCGCTGGCGCCACGCCGAGCAATCAGAAGGTGCCCCTACCAGCTGGTTTGCTGCTACCTGGCGAGGTGCCACAGCTGCAAGGATGACATTTTTGTGACATCTTTTGGGATCCATTTTTTTCTGAAACAAATTGCTTGGGTAAGCAATTGGAATGGATTATGATGGTTGTACAATACATGATTATTTGACATGACAAAGACCTGTGGGCCGGCCCCTAAGCCCTTAGGTTTTGATCCACACCCATCTCGCTTTTGATAAGATTTCAGTGTCAGCAAACGAACTGAGGTCAGCAAACCACCCGCTGTGGATGGGGAGGCTCATGGTGGGATGATTTTACCACCCATTCCTGGTCTTGGGGCATGGTTTATGGCTTTGGAGTTACTGGCCTCATGTCCCAGACGTGCTTTTTCCGGGAATATCTCTGAGAAAAGGCAGCATCTTTCATTCAACAAAAACCCATGGTTTCCAGTTTCAATTACCCTCTGGTAAACTAACATAACCATGGAAAATCACCATGTTCAATAGGAAAATCAACAAACTGAATGGGTCATTTTCTATAGCAAACTGATGCAAACTCTTAAATTATAGAGGGTATTCCCTGCAGCCAATGGACATTGATCACAGCTATCTGGGGCCAGGAGTCTCCCTGCAAAGCACGGCGTAAGCGCGGGGGACGGGAATCGAAGGATCCGAACATCAGCGCCTTGGTCGTGGAGTCAGAGCACCAAGCCTCAGCGGTAGATTTTAAATGTTTTTTGTATATTTTAATGATTTTATATAAGGGAAAATCATCTAAAGATGGAAGCTTAAAATGCAGATTTGAATGGGAAAATTTGTGGTGAATGGACATCCGTACCCAGTTCGTGGCTTTGGACCATGATGAGAAACCATGATGAGAAACCATGATAAACTGATAAACCGCATGTTTCTTTGCGGGAGTATGAAGGTTCTGATTTTCAGATTCCGTCCTGGCAGACGGATGCACAATTTTCATCACTTGTGGTGCCCCCAAATCTCGGGTGAAATGACTCATGACCCAAGAAGTCACAATGTCACAAGCGGAACGCAGAACGGACAACCGGAGAGATCGGAGATCCATGGATAGCCATGGATATCCATGATTGTTGATGATTTTTGGATGGTTTTTCACGGTTTTTCGGACATAGTTCCCTGATGTTCCCGCTCAGGTGGAGATGACCCTCATGGTTTGCTTCCTTCAGGGGCCTTCATCGACTTGGGCTTGCTGGAGCGACGCAAGAAACCCTGATGATTGCCACGTGGTGGCAGGGTTGGTTTTAGAAAACAACATGCGATTTTACCATCAGAAAATTGATTTTTCTGCAAGACACTGTTTTGTTTGTGGTTTCAAAGATTTACTTGTTTGGTTATCCCTCTCGACAAATGGCAGGATGATTCCCCGTATTTACACATGCCGTTTTCTTGAGCCATAGTTTATGAATGTATCTGGTTATGTATGATTCTTGAGGGGGTGGCTCAACCACCAACCAGGTGTCGATTTGTGTCCACTACCCTGCCAATACCCAAGTATGACACAAGAAGAAACGAAAACGGAGGGCGGGGAGGGGAGATCTTGCAACGAACTCAATCACAATGAGATATCAAGAAAGCTTGTTTGATTTTTTTGGTACAGAAGATACTGCGAGGGTGGTAGAGGAGACGACGTAGGCGCGGCATGCTGATAGCTGTATGTCAAGTGGAGACCCTGTCGTTGGTTCCACAAGCTGCAACCCCCATTGTTGCCGGTAAGGCTCCTATTTTAGTTGTTTCACATGTCACACGAAAAATCATAAGATTGATTTCAGGGACGATTTAGAAGCAACCATGGGTTTTGCAAATCAAAACCATGTTTTTGCTCTGTAAGCACATCTCCGACCCAAGTCTGGGAATGTTTGGACAGGGGTTTCCACTGACACCATTTTGCTTTTCCCTTGATTTCCGCCCCCGTGTGGCCTTGGTGATGCTTGAAGCATGGCCGAGCGGAGCGGGGCGGAAGCTCAAGTTACTCAAGTTGCAAATCGAGCTTCAACCAAGTTGAGCTCCTGATGGCTGGTGATTTCAAAGTTCTTGCACTTTTCCATCATAGGATGCTTGACCCCAAAGTGCCAAGTGCTTCTCTCTGAAGCGGAATGGATTGAAACCACCCGGCAGCCTAGACTTTATGCCCCGTGCGGCTGAAAGTGGTGCAGGGGTGGGCTGGGAAGATTGGGGTAGGAGAATTCCACAGCTGCAACCGAGGTGGGGCGGGCGAACGCACAGGGCTTGACTTCCAAAACACGGGGGGAAAACCTGCAAACTTCTGTAGTTGCATTATGACAGAGATTAAAGATGATTAAAGCAAGCGATTCAGAAGGTTGATTCCTCCACAAGAATGGGCTACACTCCAGCTGTGTCATAGCAAAGATCAAGCATCATGTGGCCGATTGCCATTCACAAGCTGGAGTCTGAACCCCCCTGAACTTGATGGCCTGTTGTTGAACATGGTGAACCAATGACTTTGGGCACTTTGGGCACTTTGGGCCGGCAAAAGGAGCTGCAAAAGCAAGCGGAGGCTGCCGAAGGGATCATGGTGGACCGGGCTCACTTCATCCCCAAGGGCCAAAGGCGAACAACGCAGGAAGTTGTACAAGAAGGGGCCACCACATTGTTTTCCCCTTTTTCTCCCGGCAACTGGATGGAACTATAATCCTGGTTGGATGTAGTAGTCATGCTTCTGAGCAGCCAGCAACACAAGTGACGCCTCCATCTTGCCTTTGCCGCACTGGCTCAGCTTGGAGGCATCCACTTAACAAACCCAGCGGCCAGATCTCATCAGAGCTCAGGAAGTCCCACGGAAGTCCCAAGTTTTCAGTGGCCCCGAGCTCCCAAAAACCCCGCGCGCCATGGGGGCAGTATGTGCCCAAGCAGGGCTCCCCGGAGCCGAGGCAGGCTGGTTGAGATGAGGATGGCTGCACTCCAGAAGTCCATTTGAAGGACAGTTTGCATTGTGGATCATTTCGGAAAGGCCTATAGACTAATAGAAATGGAAGTTTCCTAAGGAGGGCTATTTTTTTTGACATTTTTTTTTTGGGGGGCATTTTTTTTTTGTTTTGGTCCTGGCTCCTGGTGGCTTCTGCGGTTTCTGTGGCTTCTATGGCTCCTGGCTCATCTATCATCTATCGATTAATCTATCAGTGAAGCATGTTCACCAGGTGCATGTTGTGCATTAGATGCACATCCATCTATCTCTATCTCTATCTCTATCTCTATATCTATCTCTATATCTATATCTATATCTATATCTATATCTATATATCTATATCTATATATCTATATCTATATCTATCCATCTACTTCTATCCATATCTATATCTATCTATATCTATCTATATCTATCTATATCTATCTACTTCTACCTATATCTATTAACTTATGTATTAAAATCTATCTATTAAAATCTAGATAATCTATCTTTTAAAATCTATCTATTAAAATCTATCTATTAAAATCTATCTATTAAAATCTATCTATTAAAATCTATCTATTAAAATCTATCTATCTGTCTATCTATCTATCTATCTATCTATCTATCTATCTATCTCTATTCAAATCTACCTCTATTCAAATCTACAGTCACCGACAGAATTATGGAAAAAAACACGTTTCAATTTACAGGCGCCGCCTGTCTATGATAGAAAAGTTACGAACCTTTTTTTTTCCCATAATTATTTTTTCCATAATTATTTTTTTTCCATAATTCTGTCGGTGACTGTATGTCCATCGATTCGCAATTTGAATGCATTTTAAGGGGGAATATTGAATTATAGAAAATATGTGTTTAAAGATCTGGTATATGCCCCTAAGTCTTCCATTGATATATAATTGCACCACCAAAACTCATTGTTGTACGTACATACATATGCGGGATGTATCCTTTTGCCAAGCCACCAATTGGGTTGATACTACATACTTGCATTTGCATACATACTTCCATAACCCCCCAAAAAAAAGGGATTTGAATTGTGGATCCATGACATGTCCAACAGGTGGAGCCCCAAACATTAATTATGGAAAAAATAATTATGGAAAAAATAATTATGGAAAAAATAATTATGGAAAAACCGGTCAATCTGCCCTAGCCCCCTGATTTTACAGGAAAAAACACTTATGGAAATAATGGCCACCTCCAAGAATTATGGAAAAAAAAAGGTTCGGATCACTTCCGGGATATTTTGAACCCTTATGGGGAAAAATCCAATTATGGAAAAATCGGACACAGGCGCCGCCTGTCTAAGTTGAACGTTTTATTTTTTTCCATAATTCTGTCGGTGACCATATCTCTATTCAAATCTATCTCTATTCAAATCTATCTCTATTCAAATCTATCTCTATTCAAATCTATCTATCTATCTTATCTATCTTATCTATCTTATCTATCTTATCTATCTTATCTATCTTATCTATCTTATCTATCTTATCTGTCTTATCTATCTTATCTATCTTGTCTATCTTGTCTATCTTGTCTATCTTATCTATCTCTATCTTATCTATTATCTATCTGATCTATCTGATCTATCTGATCTATCTGATCTATCTGATCTATCTGATCTATCTGATCTATCTTATCTATCTTATCTATCTTATCTATCTATCTATCTGTCTATCTATCTATCTATCTCTCTATCTATCTATCTATCTATCTATCTATCTATGTCTATATCTACCTAGATCTATTTAAATCTATCTATATCTATATCTGTATCTTAATCTATATCTATATCTATCTCTACATCTACATCTGCATCTACATCTATATCTATCTAATTCTATCTCTATCTCTGTCTGTATCTATGTCTATATCTATCTATATCTATTTAAGTCTATCTATATCTATGTCTACATCTACATCTAAACCTACATCTATATCTATATCTTTATCTATATCTATATCTATATCTATCTATCTAAAAGGTTGTCATTATCATCGAGATGACATCCAAAGCCCACGCCAACCCTGAACCAAGCAAGAATATACAGTACACCAACCTTATACAAAGAGATCTTAAACCAACACGATGATAACATCCAATGAAACTATTGTGCATCGTTGTGCTTTAACCTACATTCCACACATGTTTCCAGGGTGCATGTCGTGTAGTATATACACCTTGAGTATGACATTCAACCCAGCACCTTCCATGTGAAAATAGGTGTTTCCAATCTGCTTTGGGGGGGAGGCGCTGCGCCCCCCCCCAATCCCCCTCCTCCCACTTTTTTATTATTATTTGAATTCAAACTTGCACACTTTTCAATACACTAGTTTGATTCCACTATATGTATATATACATATATATATATACACATCTCTATATTTATACATACTTATATGTATACATATACATATACATATAGATATTTACTTATTGACATGTACAAACACACACATATATATATATAACATATTTATGGTTGTTGGTATACACAGCTTTCAACCCAAAACAAACTATAAATAATCATGCGCACGGATATGCATCCACATAATTGTAATTATTTGTATGTACATGTTGTATCCCTAAATAACTCCTAATCCAACCCTAACCCTAAACAAACCCTGATCAGACCCTAAACCAGCCCTAAAGAAACTTTAAACCAACCCTAAATAGACCCTAAACAAATCTAGAAGAAACCATAAACCAACCCTAAAAAAACCTCACACCAAACCCAGCATATATATTGAATACACGTGTAAATACACTGATCTACATATACATATAGTCATGATTAGTCATGCACACATACCTCTTTACATCTACAATTTATAGTTTGCACATCGTGTATTTCCAAAAAAAAATGAAAACTTCTGAAAAAAAACCATGTATTTATCAACGAAAACTTTGGAACAATCAATGAAAACAAGTGAAAACTGAATGACAACCATGCACAAATTGAAGACATAGACAAATTGAAGAACACCATTAAAAAATGGATGAAAACCATGGAACAATCGAAGAACACCATAGAACAATTGAAGAAAACCATGGAAAAATTGAATAAAACCATGGACAAATTGAAGAAAATCATGGACAAACCAATGAAAACGATGGACAACTCGATAAAAACCATGGAAAAAATCTAAAACCAGTGGAAAAATTGAGGAACAGTGCGAATGAGAGATTTTAGCTACAAAATGCAGCAAATGAGCGATTTTAGCTGCAAAAACCAAGGAAGGGAACCTGGACGACCAAAAAAAAAATGCAAAAAAAAATAATTGCCAACTTAATTTTGCACACTTTGCTAACATAGGGGTACCCATGAGTACCCAATAGCTGGATGGTTAATAATGGAAAATCCTATTAAAAGGGATGATTTAGGGGCGCCCCCATTTTGGGAAACCTCCAAAAGTCTTAATCTCCAGGAAGGTACGTGAGATCTACGAAATCGCCTGGATGAATGTGAGGGATCACCGCTTCCGGCAAACTATTGCTTTGATGGGCCATGACGTAGCTACCAGAGAAGAAAGGGGTTTGTCTTAACATGTCTTAAACCCGGTTCATTCAAGATGCAATATATCCTTAGTATCATAATATATATTTTTATGTTTATGTTTGCGCTTCAATTGTGGCTTTACATGCCGGATTCGCGTGTGCACATGTATGTGTATAACTGATTCTAAATGCACACATACACCCACGCACACATACACCCATGCACAGACAATGGACGGATGGATTGACGGAGGGATGGACGGATGGACGGAGGGATGGGTGACTGGATGGAGGGAGGGACGGACGGACGGATCGGTCGTGAGCCATTGATGGTAGTTCTCGAGCTTTCGACCAGGCGCTCGAGAATCATTGTGTTTGCCAAGATGCAAGTTCCAGTTGTCCCGTCGTAGGCAACGTGGCGGGGGGAAGCTGACCTCAAAGACCGTCTCAGAGATTTTCAGAGCCCACTGGCTGCTTCGATTTTTTTCCTTTTTTCCCCTTCTCGGAGTGGGTTTTAGGGGGGTTACGGTTACCATTGTGATCCATTTTTGCACCAGAAATGCGTGGTTCTTCATCCCTTTCCCCCAATGGATCGCCAGGCCGCCATGAAAAGCCTGACGCAGCGAAGCAACTTGGCTGATCCTTTGATGACATCAACCTGACCCCCAAACATACATTCAAAAGATCATAAAAGTACAAAGTGCCCCTGCAAAAAAAGGTGCAGACTTGCCAAGAAGTTTGATATAGTTTGATGAATTCTGATGAATTCCACCTACCCCTCAGCTGCTAGGACCGGATCTTCTCTCATATTCTGGTGCTTCGAGTTACCAACCAGTTGCTGTTTGACAATTTTTCTATGCAGTGTTCCGAGGCATTTGCCAGTTGCGGCCTGAGGACCCTTCCGCAGCCAGTTTTCGATGTCGATGGTATTCTCCTGGTGATCTCAAACCATCTCAAACCTTGTTTCACAAGACTGATGAAACTCCAAATGGATAGCTTATGATAGCTGAAACACCAGAACAAGTGAAAATCAGTTTGTCTTTTTTTGGCGGCGAGGTGGGTCCGTAGATGCCCCATTCTCACGACACATGCCCATTTTGCAGGAAGATCCCCACAGCCCAGGTTCTGAGTGATGTCCAAGTCTGGATCCCAGTTGCCGAATTCCGAAGTGCCCAATCAACCAGATCCATGAAAGAAAAAAAAAGTATCCTCCCAAATCAGTGATTTCATCCCCTATTCAACCATGGTTGATGTTGGGGGTGTTCAATATGATCGCATGATGAGATTAGTTGAATGGTTTCCAATCCGTGTTATCATTGTTTATGAACGATGTTTTCGTTGCACAGTGTTATATACATGACCCTGTAATCAACAATGAGGAAAGGATGCTCGTCAATGGTCCATTTGAACATTGAAGTACCCTCCCACATAAATGTCATGATTCCTAAATATGTATATATATATATATGTATGTATATATATATATGTATTAATATATTCATATAGTATATATATATAGAGAGAGATAGGTCACACACACACACACGCACACACACACACGGGTGATATCCAATTTTTTCGTGCCGGATCTTCCAAATCCCAAGGAGGAGGTCACAACGGTGGACAATGGCGAGCCTTTGACGTCGACGCTCGCTTGTTAAAAGTGGCATAGCCTACCTGGTAATGACTAACACTTTGCCTTTTTCAATGGTAAGTCTTCCAACTAGCCATGGACAATCACAATTTTTTGTAGGCAAATCTTCAAACATCTTCCAACTCAATTTCTGCCATGGCTTCCAATGGCTTCCAACTCGCGAAATTCCCGGGGTCGGACGGTCCACCTTGGTGATCGCCCGTCAGGCCGTCCGGCGCTCACGTACCTTGGACCCGTTTTTTTTGGTCAGCGACGGAATGGGTGTTTCGGGCGTTGCTAAAGATTTTTCGCGCCTTTGGAACCGGAATGCGGTGCAACATTGTCTTGATTTGGGACTATCACCATTTTCATGGGTGGTATGGTTACCATTCCCAGTCATGGGTGGTTTATGGCATTGTTTTAACCACATTATCTGGAATATCTTTGGGAAAATTGGGACATAGCTCAGTGCACAGAAAGATTTTTGGAAAGTAACGATTTTAATCCCAGGTTATGGGTCACATGGAGTCAGTCGTCCAAGACATGTTTCTCGCCATGGAATCCTTCCTGGACATTCTGCATCCTTCGCAGAACTTCCCAATGTCACCTGGCATTTTTCAGCCGGCTCCCAGGTTTCACCTGGGCTTAACTCGGCGAATGTCGTCCATGCCTGAGTTGTTCAGAGATCCGAGAGCTTAGGGAACTGTGCTGGTCCTGAGGAGAACGAGGAGCCGAAGGATGTGAACCTTTTGAAGGTCTGATGCAGCTGGAAAAACAGGGTTGGGACCATGCTGGAAAGCATGGGAGGATGAGACACACACACACACATACGTATATATATACACATAGTTATATATATATATATGTATAGTTATATATATAGTTATATGTATATATATATACACACATTCCCCAGAAGATGCGGGATTGCATGTTTTTTTTTCTGCATCAATTTGAGGGACAGCATCAGCCACTGGGCTTGGTCTCGTGTTGGGCTTCAGAAGAAGCCGGGATTTTGAGGCTTGACCAGTTGGGAACGCATGAGTTTCAAGATGTTTCAAGATGCTTCATGGTGGTATTGTGATCCAGGCGCCGAGGCTACAGGTCAGTTCATGAACCGACTGCTCATCTGATTTCTTGGTTATTCTTTTTGTGCACGGATTCATTTGTTGACTTCTTGGGGTGACATTATCCATTGATTAGTCCAATAGTCCACACCGTGGGGCCTTCACCTGCTGCGCCATATTTGTGCTGCGTTGCTTTGGATAGGTGCCCTATGGTACCCTTCCATATCAGCTTTCCAGGTTCAATGTGCTTCAACGGATGGATTTCATGGGAAAAATCCTTCCTTCGCTCCCTGGAGGACCTGGACGACGACATGAATGCGGATGTCCCTCGAAAGGTGGCTTCGTCCGCTAGCGTGGTCTCGGAAGCAAGCGTGGCTGCCACGTGGCAGCGATGGGGACCATGCCGGAACGAGTCAAGTCATGACATGGACCCCTTGGCTTTCCATGTCCTTGTAAGAAAAAAACAATATAATGACATGTAATGTACATATCCTGTATATATATATGTATATAGATAATATATATATATACATATTATATGGGTCGGTATATACTGTATATAGTTTCTTTATGTTTAAGAGGGGGATGGACATCTATGCCACCTGGGAGATGAGTGCCTTGGATTTTGAGGCTTTCTTTTCGCTGAGGCCTGGTTTCAACATGTCTCAACTTTGGCATCGTCGACTGCTTTCCCACAAATTGCTCTCAACGTCGAAGGATTCAGGTCCAGTAGTTTTTTCCTAATATATATATATATATATAATATATATATATATAATATATATATATATAATATATATATATATATTATATGAATAAGAATAGATATTCAGAATAGATAAATAAATATGTGTTAAACGTATTGAGATCATCCTAGATCCGTCGAAGGCAGAACACAGGCCCTTTGGCCTGCCAGTCCCTGAGGTTAGCGATGCCAGCAGCCCCGGGACGTCCAGTGTGGTCTCAAGCACCGGCTTGAGCCAGGCATCCAGGACCAAACCCAAGGCCAAGAAGAAGACCAACGGCGCGAAAGCGACGCCTGTTGATGATCTTGATTTGTCGTTTAAAAAAAAAATCTTGGATGATGGGAGATGAGATTTGGATGTTTCTGAGCTTATCAAGGGCATGGGCCTTTTCTCACAAACTTGAGATCAAAATGCCTAAAGATGTTCACTGGATTGACGGACTCCCCCTTTGTTGGAGGTCCAACAAACTACTGTGCTCGGTACACTTCTCGATTTGTGCACCTTTACCAGGCTCAAGGCATATTTACAAGGGCTTTGTCTTCTCCTTCTTGTACAATTTCGACATCACTGTGGATGTCAGCCCTTCGTCCTTGTGCCGGTGCTGAAACGCATTCCATGGGTTTCGAATCAGCCTTTCTGGCTGCCCCACACCTACGCTATCAGCATCATGCACGGCATCGCTCGCCTGTGCAGTGCTCTCAAACTCTGCAGCCTTTGCTGCATCTACGTTGTGCACCACATGCGAGCCCGATCGTCTCGATGTACCTTGTGAGATAGTGCCCACAGCACCACTGGAGCCCGACCGTGTCCTCGGCGACATGGATGTAGAACCCCCAGCAGTGCAATCGCTGCTCGAACTTGCTTCGAAGCCCGATCGTGATGTCAAATTCAGAGTCGTAGAGCCAGGCTCTTCTCCATAAGAACCGCTGCTCTTGCCCGACTGTGACGTCATACCCTTTGATATAGATCCAGGCACCATTGCTTTAGAGCCCGATCGTGTTGGCATATTCAAAGACGAAGCACCAGCAGTTCCTGATCGTGATGGCAAAGACAGTGACGAAACGCCACCAGTGCCCGAGCGTGATGGCAAAGTCAGTGACGAAGCGCCACCAGTGCCCGAACGTGATCTCACCTTCATGGATGAAGTTGACATTGATCCACTGCCAGCTTGCTCACTAGAGCCCGATCTTCTCGACGAACTCCCATGCATTTCTTCCGTCACTTCTTCATCTTCTAACCTCAGATCCCTTGGAACTGCATCGTCTCTTGGAGCACGCAGTCGTCGCAGGCAACATTGAGAAACTTCGTACATCAATTGCCCAGCATAGACTGCCCCTAGCGCCATCAAGACCGCGCCAGTCACAAAGATCGGCATCAGATCATCCTTCTCTGTGTCCTCCTCGTCCATCGCTCTTGCAGAAGACACCAACAGGCTGCCCACCATGATGGCCTTCAGGGCCTTTTGTCCATCTCCTCCTCCAGCCTGAGCTCTTTCATTGTCAACTTGAAGTGCATCCAACTTCACCAAGTTGGGTCCTTTCATGCCCAAGTCCTCCACAAACCTGAAGAACGCCTGACCAGCTAATGGCTTCGTCAGCCCATCCGCCACCAACTCCGTGCCACGAAGATGTAGCAGCTTCCAAAAACCATCTGGGGCCACACCATCCAAGGCCTCCCTGAGAAAGGAAGATCTCACTCGCAAGTGTCTGGTTCGCCACGTGGCATGTCCAGTTCCATGCGCCATTGAGATTGCAGCCATGTTGTCGCCATAAATGACGCGCTCCAAAGAGTTCTGGCCAACTGGCTCCTTGAGCATCGAGCAGATCAAAGCTTCAGTTGCACGCCCTGCACAAAGAGCTTCGCAGTAACTCACAAGTTCTGCTTCTGCCGTGCTATACGTCACAAATGGCTGCTGCGACGACACCCAGCTGATTGGAGCTCCAGCAAAGTATACTGCTATGCCCTGTAGACTTCGATGGCGGCTGCCGGTGCCATAGGCGATATCTGCAAAAACTTCAAGTAGGCGATCATGTCGCTCAATGTGCAGCTGTCCCCTCTTGCCCCATGTTTCTTTTGGGACACCCTGAGGGTAGTGTAACCCACCTTGAACTTTGAGCACATACTGCATCACCGCCTTGGAGATTTCCACTGACTTGCATGGATTTTTCGTAGCAAGTCTGCAGGCTGAGGAGACCGTCATGGCTATGTCAGGTCTTGTTCTGGTTGTCAGCCAAAGTAGAGCACCTGCCATTGATTGCGCAAGCTTCACCTCAGACTCTTTGACCTCTCCATTCGGAACTTCATCATCTTCTGAAAGATTGACATGTGGAAAGTCCGTCGCCTGGGTGATGCCAAAACGCTTCACCATCTCTTGCTCATACTTCTTTTGGCTGATCACATAACCATCATTGTTGGGTGCAGCTTCGATCTCAAAACCGCAATACTTGACGATCTTGCCCTCCCCCGTCTTCTCCAAGTCAGAGATGGCCCAAACCTTTTCCACAGCTGTTGTCAAAGCATCCAAAGCTCCACCTTCAGCTGCAAAAAGCAGATCATCAACGTACACCGACATCAGGCCGGTCCAGTGCACCTCCCCCGAGATCATATCGACCTCTTCGATCCTCCAGATGTTCTCATCTGGTGTCTTCTTGAAGGATCCCCGCACATCACGACCTTCTCGTTGTCGGCACCAGCTGACTGTGGGCAGAACTTCATCACGATGGAGTCCCCAGTCTCTGGGCGATGTGGTGAGCCCATATAGAGCTTTGTCGACCAACCATAGGTCTTGATGTCCCGCCAGTTGAAGCTTTCGGAACACCGATGGGATCTCCATGGCTATGAGGCGCTTGGTGTCACGCCTTGGGGCGTTCAAGAATGCTGTTCTTATATCTGTGCATCCAATCTGCCACTGCTTCAAGGCACCCAATCGCACCATCGCCCGCACTTGCTGCCCGTCCACACCTCCTGCGTAATGCTCATTGTTGTCAGGGCCGGCATAATTTCCGCAGATCACTGCACGGCTTCTGTAAGCACCGCTGCCTGACTTCCGAGTGTGGACCATTTTTCCAGGCAGTATTTCAATTGGCAGCTTCATTTCACTTGCCATTTGTTGCAACTGCGCTTTTGTGATCTGCCTGACGGCCTGTTTCTTGTTGACAAGTTGATCATATTCTTGACGTATTGAGTCACTCCAAGCATCCAGATCAGCCCAAACTTCAGCGTTGCCGATCGTCTTTGTCACCAGGAACTCCTGCTCCAACTTCTTTTGAAGTTCGCCAGCGCCATTTGCTTGCGCTTCTGTCAGCTGCTCTTCAATCATGGCTTTCATCTTGATGGCTTCTGTCACATTGCCAAGCCACAAAGATTGTTCAGCAGCTGTCCCATCCAACACCGCCATCTCGTCCTCGACATAGTGCGTCAAGTTGACGTGCAAGGCTCTCAATGCAGCTGGATTGGTCATGCTTGTGTTGTTTGAGGCTGTCAGGCGTGAGCCACCATCCTGACTATTAGGCGCCCCCTCCTCATCCCCACCTCCGATCCACCAGCCCTCCTCCTCAACTTCAATTGATTTTGGAGTCCAGCTGCTTTCATGCGAAGATGTGATCGTACCTATTGACCAGCTATCACTTGAGCCCCCATGATGTGAAGGTGTTGTTGGTTCAAACATTTCAGGGAATCGATTCACAATCTTCTCCTCCCCCTCAATGTCCAACATTGAAATTGCTGGCAGTGGAGCTTTTGTCCTGTGACGTCGTTGTGGAGCATCTTCAAGACGTTCTGGAAGATAGAGCACCTGATCTTCCACTGCTGGTTGTTGAACGTCAGGCACCACGATGTCATCAGTGTAGAAACATCGTCCAGTGTCAACTGACTTGACGAAGTAGCCCGTATTGGTCAGTGAGGCATGTGCGTCAGGACCCAAAATGATCACTGGTTCTCGCACCTCACGCCATGGAGCATATCTGGATTGCCATGATTTCCTCAGTGCATAGGCTTTGGCACCAAAACGCAGCAAGCGACCAACTGGCCACCCCAGAAGATTGAGCTGGCTTCGCAACCGACGTTCACCGATGTGACGAGCAGCTAAAGGCCATTGAGAAAGAGTGCAAACTCCTGCAGTGATCAAGGTTCTGATGGATTTTTTTACCATACCCATCTCGGCCTCAACACGTCCATTGGCCTTGTAGGAGCTTCCTGAAGTCATCGTCGTCAAAATATTGCGATCCAGTGCCCAGCTCTGCATCTCTGCTGAAGAAAATTCTCGTGCCCTGTCTGAGTGGATACGGTAGATTGGCAATCCCATTGCTCGGATGCGGGCATGTACTTTGGAAAGTGCAGGAAGAAGATGTTTCACCGACCGGCTTTTCACAGGCTCCACAAAGGTCAGTTGACGAACTGTCACATTCTCGGCCTGCTCGATGAGCTTCTTCCATGTTTCGTTCATCGACTTTGCCCTTCTTGTTGCCGGTGATTCCACAGTTTCCGCCTCCACATCTTCTTCTTCAAGAAGAACGTCTTCAGGTAGATCTTGTGGTTCTTCTGCATCCGACATCTCTGCATCAAGTCCTGGTAGAGGTACATCAGCGTCCTCATCGGGTTTGCCAGGCACCTGCACCAAAGAGCGACCATCTCGGGTGACCGGGTAGGTGTAGCATCCTACCAGAAGGTATTTGCAAGCCTTCATTTGCTGGTCATCCCCTGGAGTCATGCGCCCTGAGAGGTCAACGCTCAAAGTGTATGCCGCAGGATGTTGGATACGTCGATGTGGCTTGCTTCTCCCCTGCGCACGGACACAGTGAGAACAATCTCTCCTTGCCGGGAGATGGTCATTGAGGAAATGCCTTTTCCATTGTTCAAGGGCTACAGGTCCCAGCGCTTTTGCCATTGGTGGACGCTGAGATCCTTCTGGCCGTTGAGATTGATATCCTCTTTGGTTCACTTCCATTGTTTCATCTTGTTGTTGTATTGAATCAGGTTCCAGAGATTGCACTGAAATTTGATTATTTGATTGTCCTGGGCCTTCTTGCAGTGGTTGTACTGAAGCATGTCTGGCCCTTTGATCAGAGCGTTCCGCACCTTGATCTTGTGCCGCTCTTTCATATTCCAGCTCCTGTAGATGTTGTCGAATGGCCACCACCAATGCCTGTTTCAAGCCTGGCGCCCATGCCGCCCATCTCTTTGAAGCTTCCATTCGCTTTTGTAGAGGCTGCTCTCGCAAGTCTTGTGGTGGATGTTCTGGAGCTCCATGGATTCCATCCAACTGCAACAGCACTTCCATCGTGGTGAAGAGCGTAGTTGGCTTTCTCCGTTCATGTCCCATGGGGCCCTGATCAAAGTCGATCTTGTAGAGCTCAAACACCTCTGCAAATCGCTTCCAGGCAGCTGTTCGAAACATCGACATGTAGTTGTTGCGGTTCAGATCTTCTGGAGGTCTGTACTCTTTGGGGTCTCTGGGCTGCTCCAAGATCAACTGCGGACTTGGGTCACTTGGCAACTGCACCTCTTTGGCCACCGCATACAGCGACAAGAACCTGAAGAAGAGGATGCTGTCATTCTGAACCTTCTCCATGTCGGCCATTGACAGCGTTGGTAGTCCATAAGGGTGCTCTTCAGTTCTCAGCTCCCCTGGTCCCCCATCTCCTTGGCTTCTCAAAGCTGACACTGTACGACACGGAGGACCACCAAGTAAAGCGCGCAGTTTGCCAGATGCCGCAATCGTCAGCAAGAACCCATACACATGCTTGTCCAGCAAATTGGCATGGCACCCACCTTGAAGATCGACGCAAAGAACTTCAGTGTTGTCTGTGCTCAGCTGTCGCTCCCAGTACTGTGGATTGTCACCTGAGAAAACATGTAGCACCACATTCTTTGCCTTTTGAAGCCTTCTCCGCTTGTGCCTGTTCCATGGCAGCATACTTCCAAACATCTCAGACTTCACAGCCTCTAAACGTGGCACCAACTTCATCATGATCTCCTCAGGGACACCTGGAAACAGCTGTTGAAGCTTCACCGTCATGGCCAACTCCAGGTCCAACTTCATAGGATTCAGATCTTCAGGGTTTTTGATGAAGGTTTTCACCATGGCCATCTTTCGTTGTTGATGTACTTGAAAAAGCTCCAGCCACTCCAAGACACGCTGTCCATCAGCCAATGAGATCATTGGACATCCATGCTGAACCAGCACCTCAATCTCACGGCCTTCGTCATCTCGTAGTTGACATTGATTGCCAGACCACTGCATGGTGAAGTCCAGATCAGCTAGACCACCCATTGGCACAATCCATGCCTGCACAGCTCCAGGTTCTGACAAGAGGATCCTGGTACCTGGCTTGAGGCGGAATCTGTTGGTTGACCCCTCAGCCAGCATCACAGTGGTTGGTTGACCATTGCTCCATTCACCATCGTCTCTGGCCGGCCGCAAAGCATGAGTTGCCCCAGAGTCCACCAAAACCAGATCTTGTCGTCCACGATCCAACTCGCTGATCCGCATCACATTGAGCTTCGGCTGGATGCGAAGGGTCTTTAACAGCTGCGTCGCTTCATGCAGAAGCTCAGCCGTTTTTTCATTCTTCACCGCATGTTCACCTCCCGTTCCTCCATCTCCAAGGCTCTTTGTGATGTCATCACCTTCACTTCCAGGATTACCATCTCCTGGTGATGCCGTCGTAGATGTTGTGGATGTAGCGGCATTCGACATTTCGTTCACCTTGGGCTTGATCGGAGTCACCGGTGGTGATGGTTTTGAAGTTGGTGTAGCAGGTGTTGCACTTGAAGAAGATGCCAATCCTCCCCCCGAAACCTTGGTTTCGTCCTTGGGCCTTGATCCACCTCCTTTCACCGGGCAATCCTGCTTTCTGTGGGCCTTTGAGCCGCAATTCCAACACCTTGCATTTTTGTCGGTGATGCCCTCCCAGCTGTGCTGCCATTTGCATTGTTTCCCGGCACGACAGCCGGTGTCGGATTTGAACCACCGACAAGGGGCGTCTATTGCTCCACCACGGCCTTTTCCATTGGATCCCACCTCCATTGGAGCCTTTTTGCCACCTGCATTGTCGCCAGTTTCCATGACCTTCAGCTTCAGCGGCACTGCATCGGTAGTTGACGTTGCAGAAGAGCTCATCAAAACCAAGGTCTCCGCTTCTGCCAGCAGACACTGACTGAAGTCCCAGATGGTGGCAGCTTGGGGCATCTCATCCACTTGCAAAGCCGCACGACTCTGAGCCAACCTGAACGATGCCTGGCTGTTCTCTTTCGCCACCGCCTGCACTCCAGTTTCCAATGCCCTGATCAGCAACGTGCCGTCTGGCAGGCTGGCACCCACCTCTCGGGCCCTTCCAAAGTGCCTCCGCCAACTCCTCAAAGCTGCTGCCAATTCGGCCATGGATTGCGTCTTGGGGAGCTGGGTCAATTCCTTCAGGATCAAAGATTTCTCCCCCGGGCCTCCAGGCTGATACCGGACAAAAAGGCGGTAAAGGATGGCCGTACTTGTCAACTGCCTGTCCGTCACCAACATCTGCTGCATCTCCTGGGAGACTGCCTTAAGAAGCAGATGCGCTCCTCTTTGTTCTGTCCTGTTGTAGATCTTGTCGTTGAGCTCCTCCGGCATCCTGGGTTCCAATTGCACCCGTTGGAGAGGCGTTGCCTGTTTCCAGTCTTGGTAATGGATCCGGGCCTGCCTCACCGTCAAGTCCCACCACCTGCTAGCCATGCTTGAAAGGTCTCGCATGACCGGCCCACATAGATGGATCCAATCCCCAAACTGCAAAGGGCTCGCCGAGCTTGGAAGTTCAGGCAAGTCAGCTTTTGACCCGCTGACGCCTCCCCCACTTTCCCATGAGGTTGGGATGGGATCCAATCCACCTCCAAAACCTCCTCCGCCACCATGCCGAAGATCTCCACTGAAGCGTCCATCAAGGCCAGCATGTAGGTGCGATGCTCCCACAGCCCGATCACCAGGATAAAGACCACCATCGCCCTGCTGAGCCCGAGCTTGTAGAGGATCTACACCGCTGCTGCTATGCAAAGCCCGACCTTGAAGTGCAAGATCACCACATCCGCCACGCAAGTGACCTTGACATTCTGGATAGTTGCCACTGCTCAAAGTGCTAGCCCGAGCTTGTTCGCGATCAGCACCACTTCCCGCAAGCGAGTGACCTTGATGGTCTCCCTGACGCACCATGCCAGCTGCTTCAGCCCGATCTTGAAGGCGAACATCAGAAGCGCTAATGCTAGCCCGATCGCACTCTCGAAGCTGCGAATACCCCGCCCGTGCAGATCCATCTACAGTTGCAGCGGCAGCAGAGAGGTCATGACCGGATCTTTGAAACCCTTGGGACCAATATTCACTGGACTTCAGGGGATTTCCATCAGTCAATTTTGCTAGGGAATTCCGCAGTGATGCAACTTCCTTCTCTAACCAGAAAGTTCTGGCCTCATTCGGTGTGAACTCCTTTTGGGGTTCCCATGAAACATCTCTCTTCAAAACTTTTGATGTCACTTCAACCTTTTCATAGCCGTCCAAAAACTTCTTCATGTGATCATCACCATCTTGTGCAACAGAAGGAGGAAAAGGTGGAACAACTGGTGGTTCATGTTGAGGTGGAGGACATGGCTCACCCGTGCTTGGCGGAGTCCCATCTGGCACCCGTGTTCCATTTGGAGTATACCGGGTATCCTGTTTACCAGTACCAGCTTTACAGTTTGAACTCCTTGGGGTGTGATAGCCCTGCTTTGTATCATCCACCTTTGAGGAAACCTTTCCAGCATTCGATCCATTTCCTTGAACTTCTGACCATGAAGAACTAGACATTTGGCTATGACCACCACTAAGCTGCAACTTCGCTTGGCGCAGCTCTTCTAGCTCAACCATCAACTTGGCATTCTGGTCACGTAGATGGTCTACTAACTCCCTTTCCAAAGAGCGTTGTAATTCTTCCACAGGTTGCTGTACTTGGGAACTGGACCTAGCATCCACTTGATAACCATGCCCAGAACCAGTGACATCACCATCGGATTCATCCGGCATACGACCCTGTGTTCTCTCACCACCACGCTGATTCTGCATTCCAAGTTCCAGATTTGCCGCAGTGATCTCTCTCTGCGTCCTCCTGCTCGGCGGAGTCACGAAAGAACCTCCATGACCTTTCGAAGCAGCCAGCAAAGTCGACGATCCACCACGTCCCTTGCCGATGACGCCTTCACTACGAATTGGCTGAAACTCCACAGGCGAGACAGCTTCGGGCAGTGAGTCAGGTCTGGCTTGAATCAACCGCATCTCATCTTTCAACTTTCTGGAGTAAAAAGGATTGATGTTGCCCCTTTCCAGTTCAGACCCTTCGGGGGGTAAAGACCTGGCCCTATCCATGGCAACACCACCGAGATGCACGTGGTCGAAAAACCCTAAGACGTTGGGCTCATAACCCTTATCAAGGGCATGGGCCTTTTCTCACAAACTTGAGATCAAAATGCCTAAAGATGTTCACTGGATTGACGGACTGAGAAAGGGTTGGTTACGGTTAGGGGCAGATGTCACGGCCCTTTTTTGTGGGCGCTTGCCACGAGTTTTCGCTTTCAGTCGGGGATTTAAGATCGGACGTCGGGATGGGTCAGAAGAATGGGACCATGGCCAAGACATTTCAAGACTACAGATGAACATACACTACTAGCTAATATGGACTACTATATAGACTACTATGTAGACTACAATATAGACTACACTATAGGCTACTATAGACCATACAAGAAGAGTGGGTACGATTTGGAAACGCTCGGCTGGGATCTAGCACTCTGGGCCGGCAGTTGGGCTGGTGACTTTTGCAAGCGCGGCTTGCGCCAAGGACTTTATCCAAAGGGTCCGAAGAATCCACCAAAGCATCTGCGATCCTGATCTTTGATGATGGAACTGGGACGCAACATGGTTAAACTGCGGGTCATACGATGTCATACGGGTACCCTCTGGTAATGACTAACATAGCTATGGAAAATCACCATGCTATTAATGGGAAAATCCACTATTTCTATGGCCATTTTCAATAGCTATGTTAGTTTACCAGAGGGTATACGGGTCATATGGGTCTATTTGCAAGACGCCCTCAAGTGAATCGGGGCCGCAGGTGATTTCCAGGTGCAGAGAGATCGATTGTTCTGCTGGTTTGAGCTACATGTCCCCGGTTTGGCTTGCTATATTACATGCATGCATTTTTTCACCTAACTACATGAACTACATATATTACACACACAGATGGATATACATATATATATATGCATACATGCATATCAGTATTTCAATTTAGGACTGCTTTTTCAACTGCAAATCTTCCCCAAAACCCCAAACCCTAAAACCTAACTCTAAAACGCTAAAACCTTAAAACCTAAAAACCCTAAAACCCTAAATTTGAGCCAATACCACTATAACTCTATTAAAAAACTCTTGAACGGACTATACCCATATATACAATACAATACACACGCGCACACGCATATATATATATATATATGTACATATACAGACTGACGCGTGTGAGCAACTCACTGTGAGTATTTGAAAGGCGCCCTTTCTTGGGCATACAGGTTATCTAAAGTGTATACACATGCACAATTATGCATAATCATGTGTATGTTTTCTGATCAAATCTGTCTATGGCATGTTTTATGCACCACATGCACCCCCCTTCGAGCCACGCGAGGCAAAAGACTTGCACAATTACTTGCAAACCTCCAGGCTTTGCAATTCGTGCCTGGGCCGGGGACAAAGGAAGGCGTTTTTGTCGTCCCCAAGTTGGGGGCGCTGAAATCCCTAAAGTTCATACATGAATTTACACTTTGCTGACATGATGTGACATCAAGTTTCATACTTGATGTCCCTCAAGCCTAGAAGCCTTGGCAGAAATGTCAATTTTGGTCTCACCCAAATGGCTATGGATCAATACCTATGAAAATACCATTTGGTATGGGGGTTATTCACATCCATTTTAACCCAGCTATTTTGATGTGAACTACAGGGGTACTATTGGTTTTGACTGCCAAATTTTCTCCAAGACTTCAAGTTCCAACAACTTCCCTGAGGTTTCCCCGCGATGACTGTCAGCAGGGTCACGGGGCCTCCCGCCTCAGACCATGGCATTCAGGCGGGGTTGGAATGGTGGAACATGTGGATGTCTATTTCTGGGGAAAAAATGAAACATGAGAAAAAACCATGAGAAAAATGAGGAACAATGGAATTTGTGGTTGCTTCAAAGAAGGAAACGCTTACTGTAAGTCGTTCTTCTTTGATTTTTGTACACCCTTTCAGAACAAAATGGTTTCAGGATTTCGTGCACTTTTCCTCATTCTTATTTATATAGATTTGAATGTTTTGGGATATGTGACGATAGAGCGGTGCGGTGCGGAAGTGGCATGGCTTAGGTCCTTAGGTATGACTCAGACTCCCGGCTGTACCATTGGTTACCACATCATAAAATCAGAGAAACATCTCGAAAATCCATCAGTGGGTGTGCTTGAAGCAGCAAGTGGGGCTTCTGAATGGGATCTGAGAGATCTTGCAGAGAATTGGACATTTATGGCAGATTTAGTGGAGGGTAGATGCAGGAGATACTTGCAGGACAATGGTCATGCGGATTCATTCAATGGAGCTGATAGGTATCGACACAATGGCACATCATTACATGATACATTTTCGGTAACCGGTAGATTAAAATGCCACACTCTCATGCACAGCAGATAGCAGAAAATGAGATGGGAATAATTGTGATGCCAACTTTATCCTCAGGAAATCTCAGTAGTGGTGGGATGAGTGTCTTTACAAAGAACAACAAGCTTGGCGTACCAAGCAGCCGCTGCAAGGAAGGTTGGAAGCTCGTGAAATGGGGCAGTTCAGCAGATGCCCCTGGGACAGTCAGGAGAGCTTGGCTTAGGATGGGGTTCTAGTGACTTGAAGCCATCAGGATACCTATGTCACATACGTCCTGCTAGTGTATGCACCAAAACAACGCCTAAGCCGGTCACTCACGTTTAATGCTGGTAAATCTTTCGTTCATATGCAATGTTTATATAAATGCATATATGCTCATCCCGAAGTACTGTAGATAGAATATGTGAGATTTCCAAACCTTTTTCTATAGAATATGTGAGATTTCCAAACCTTTTCTTATTCTAGTGTTTTTTTTTTTTACGTTGCCGCATTCTATCTACTCCAGGTTCATTATATATAGGCACACACACGCACACACACACACATATATAATATACACAGATCTGTATCGGGTTCTGTTGCTGAGGCTTCTCACAGATTTGTCCGATGGGAATCCATCCCCAAGAGATCCAAGAGACCATCCGATTCCTGAAATGTGGATGGTCAAAACATGTTTTAATTTTTCCTCCCCATCCCCCTAATATTCAATTCCCACCATGCAATACATACTAAACCAGGGTTTCGTTGAGGCGGCCTCAACATCAGTAAACTCCTAATTTTCCAAGGTTAAGATCATGGTTCCCTCTCAACTTTCTCTTATATCATCTTGGACCGCACTGAGGCCTTGCACGCCCTGGACAGTGGACAGGAGAAAGGCTGACGGTTTTCACACATGGGGATGGATCAGAAGGATACCAGTGTGAACTGACTCATAGAACAAGTCAGCCGAACAAGTCATACAATCATTTGGCAACAAGAAAAACATCAGCATTGCGGTCTTGCTGTGCACTTTTCTGCACGTGGCAGGCGAGCTACGTCAGAGTTATGTGTCGCTGATTCAAGGCCTCACAAAAGCTCGAGGACCACGAGATCGGGGCTTTGAGATGGGTTGGAGTTGTCCACCGGTACCTAACGAACCACATCCATTTGGAAATGGGGATTAACATTGAGGCAATCAGTAATTATAGTAATTCATCATAAATGGGACATTGATATTATCAATTTGCATCAAAAAACACTGAAGTTCGTAGGGGTCAACTGGTCAACCCTTTGGCACCGAGGGCCAATAGCATCCAGAACTATCAACGGTGTTCACCAGCCAGCGTTTTGACTCATTTTGATATGGGTAAACAACATATTACCACGAAACTGGGTGGGTCCTTTGATGCCACTTTTCGAGATGTACCATTTTTTTGCGGGAACATGCTGCAATTTGCCGGATGCCCATTATGAAATAGCTTGATGGTAGAAAGTCGAAATCCTTAACTTAAACGCATGTTTTCCCTGTATTTCCTTGACGTGCCTTCAATTCCCAATCAGCCCCAAGCAACTCTCACCCAGCACTCCAGTGCGGAGCTAAGATGAACCCCACCCCATCACCAGTTGGTGGCTTGGATCCATCCATAGGATCCGTCAGAAGCAGCCAGCACAGCCAGCACAGTTCGGCTCCCGAGGCATGGATTCGACACCACCCTTTGCTGAGCATGCTTTAATCACTTTAATCATCAGGGATGTTCACCAAAAAAAGGGAGTTGAACGGTTGAACTCCAATGGAATATGGATGAATATGGGTAAGCCAGCTGGTGAAGGCGGGTAGCCAATGACTTGACCACTAGGTCACTAGATAAAGGATGCATGATGAATGATAAACATCCAGAAACACATGGAGGAATGATGAATGATGAATGATGAACAAATAATTCAGGATATATATGGATATATAGGCATGGCTTTATCATGGGCGATGAAGCGCAGACAGAGAGAGAGAGAGAGAGCGAGCCTCAACAAGACTCTATAGATGGCGGTGGAACCGCAAATGGATGATGAGAGATTCATTCCGGCCATGTTCAAAGTTCGACAAAGATACGGATTTCCACCATGTGCGTTTTTGATCAAAATTTCGTCAGTGACGGCGTTGCTGATGTCCACTGCAGGAGGTGAAGTTGCCAGCATCGATGCTTGGCGATGCCACTTTTTTCTCCATGTTCATCCATTCATGGTTATGGTCCACTTGTATCCAACTATTATATATGTTGTATATTCACTTATTTTCTCCATGGATATGTGGATATGTCCATCCAGGTTCAGGAGGTCAGGTCGCGAATCCGCTTGCGAATTCGCTCAGGATTCCCGGCAAATGGGCTTATGACCTCGAAGTGGCCCAGCTTGAAGGGTGGATGTGGCCTGGGTTTGTTAGGGAAATCCTCATTGAACATGGTATTGCTGTTGATTTGGGGATGTCAATGTCATTTCCTCCCATGACTTTCTGTAATTCGAGCCGTTTTCCATTGTAGCCGAATGATGTGAGAAAAGAATGATTGTGAGTTTCCCTGAGAATT